ACTGTTTGAAGTTAAACCCTTATATATGGGAATCTTTTGAAGATCTTTCGAAAATGGGAGCGAACGTCAAAACAAAAACATTATTCAAAGCAAACCACACTATTCCTAATCTTAACAACAACAACAACAACAACAACAACAACAACAATAATAATAATAATAATAATAATAGCAAAAAGACTCTAATTAACTCTAAAAATGGGGGAAATAACATCAATAACACCAATAACATCAATATCAATCAAGGCCTAATCAACAACTCGTCGACCCCCAACAACTCCAATTTCTTGAACTTGGAAGATGATAATCTATTTTCGACCAAAACGAGATCAAAACCTTCAAATGCACAACCGATCAATTCAAGATCTTTTCTTCGAAGATCTTCCATTCCATATCAAGAATTTCGAACTCCCAACTCGAAAACTGCCACTGACAAATGTGCCGCTGGATCATTAAACAATACTGTTTCCAATTCCAATTCCAATTCCAATTCCAATTCCAACTCCAACTCCAACTCCAACTCCAACTCCAACTCCAATTCCAATTCTAATTTCATAAATAACGAAGGATTCAAAACTCCCAATATTCCATCCACATCGGACCTTTTGAGGAGATCATCGCGTTTATCAAATTCTAAATCCTCCATCAGGAAAATTCCTTCTTCTGCATCTGCCTGGATATCGAATCCTGCATCCAGCTCTGCTTCCAAAAACAGCAATTCCTTAATAAAAACACCGATACAAAGCTCCAATCATAGAAACCTAAACCTAAACCTGAACCTAAACTTGAGTGTGAATTTGAAAAAATCACAAAAAATCAACAACATTTTCCAATCTGGCTCATCTTCTCACTCCACCACTTTTAATCAAAATAATTCATCGATCGCTGTTGTCAACTCTATCAAAAAGGACCATTACAACCAAGCGCACGACCATTTGATGAATCTATATCTTGTTTTTGCAAAGGCATTGAAGGCAATGAATAGATACGATCTATTTAAATCAATCCGTTTGTTCAATTCTTTACCAGAGCACCATCTAAACTCTTGTTATGTGTTAGGCAAGTTGGGAAGACTAAATTTTGAAATTGTAAATTATTCCAAAGCTGAGAAGTACTTTTTGAAACTAAGAAACATAGATCGAACAAGACTAAGTGAAATGGAATACTACTCCACGCTTTTGTGGCATCTTCATAAAGAAGAAGAGTTGAGTTTTTTGGCGCATGAGTTGTACGATGTGAACAAGAATTCGCCAGAGGCATGGATAACAATTGGCAATCTATTTTCTCTCATGAAAGAACCCGATGAAGCAATCAAATGCTTTAAAAGAGCAACACAAATCGATCCTGGTTTTGCCTACGCCTATACCCTTCAGGGACATGAGCATGCAACCAACGATTCTTATGAAAACGCTTTGGACTGCTTTAGAACGGCTTTGTTATATGACCCCAGACACTACAATGCTCTCTACGGGATAGGCAAAGTGTATCTTAGTCTGGGAGACAATATTAGAGCAGAATATCATTTTCGAAAGGCTGTCAGCATCAATCCGTTGAATGTTATTTTGATCTGCTGTGTCGGAATGGTTTTGGAAAGAGAAGGTAAAAGAGAATTGGCATTGAAACAGTATGAGCTAGCCCATGAAATCCAGCCATTGGCCCCACTAGCTTTGTTCAAAAAGGCGCAATTGCTATTTGTTTTAGCCAAATATCAGGAATCTGTGGTGGAGTTTGAAAAACTAAAGGAGATTGCACCAGATGAAGCCACTGTCCATTTCCTTCTTGCCCAACTCTATAAAATATTGCATCGAAAAACAGAGGCAGTGAAGGAATTCACTATCGCACTCAATCTTGATCCCAAAGGATCGCATTTAATCAAAGAAGCAATGGAAAGCCTAAATGATTAAATTAGATACAGATTTAATATTGTGGTGTTTGGAAATTGTTCGGAACAGACAACTACATGGATTTTCAGCAACCATATCAGGCAAAAATATCGAGTTTAATCTGCAGCTCATTATATTAAATTGCTTTTTATTTCTATTGAAAAACTATGATGCGATTGATTGAAACTAGCTATTTATTGTCCAAAATTAAAGCGGATTTTTAAACCTTTTTAAACCTTTTTAAGCCTTTTTAAGCCTTTTTAAACCTTTTTTGACGTTTTCAATAGCTATGAACTAAATTTGAATGAAAATCAACAGATACTCCCTCCTCTCTCCCTCTCTCTATCCCACCCTCAAAATTGAAAAAGACAGCATATTCAAATAGTTGGATCATTAATGAATATAAAAATAAATTCCATTGAATTGAAATAAACTGAATTGAATCAAGGTAAGATGCAAAACAAAAACAAAAACAAAAACAAAAATCTATATAGAACAATGCCTTTAAATTATACTACTATCTTCTTCTTTACTGAAGTAGTTTCTAATTATCCATGGTTCAGGCCTTAGAACTTCCCCATTGAAACTTTCAAGTGTTTCTTGCATGTACTTTTCTTCGTATTTGATAATTCCACTATGGCCATCCCCATGATGGTGCTCGTTGCCATGAGTCGGAAATATTTTGGTTTCACTTGGTTTTTCAAGATTTAGTCTATTGTTTGCAATTCCAAAAAGCTTTTCAATTTCATAACTGTGTAACAAGAGATAGTCTTTAAATTGGGTAAATTCTCCCTGAACAAACTCATTTGTGATGTAACAGTTTTTGCCCAACTTTCTCTCAAAATTACTGATTTTGGATTCAAATTTTGTTTTATCACCTCCATCATATAGATCTATATTGTTATATTCAAATTCTATGATACTCTTCTTTTCAAGTGGTTGAAAATGCCCATTGTTTTTATGTCTTTTCCGGTATTGGAAATATGAGTATTCTTCTTTGGGAGGATTGACAAAGCCAACAGAATCCTCATCGATCTCAACTCCAGAAGTGTTATCTTGATCGTCATCTTCTTCTCCCAAATGCTCATCATCACCCATTCCTCCAACTTGTCCATCAACATTCATCATTTTGAAGTCACAGTCGCCTGAACTTATCCACAATTGCAAGTATTTGAAGAACTTGTAATCGTTGAATTCGAGTTTGTTAATTGATTTTGTATCATATTCAATCACTATATTTTTAAGAAAATTTGCAGGGAGATATGTAATTGTGTTTTCATAGTATGTTGGGATCAAGGGCGTCAATTCCTCGATTTTGTAATAATGATAATTTCGACAATGGACCATGTTGTGAAAAAAGTCTTCAAACAATCTGTTGGTTTTTTGGTAAACTTCAGAATTTCTCAAGTCTTCTGAAGGTGGAAAAACAGATCCAAATTTGAACAATTTTAGCTTTTTTTCCGACACTTCCAAGTTTTGGATTTTGTCATCATCATAATCTAAATAAGAATTGGAATATTCTTTTTCCTCTTGTGTCTCTGCCGAGTGTTTTCCAAAGATGTCTGAAGATTGGGACTCTGAAGATTGGGACTCTAAAGATTGGGACTCTGAAATTCGCCTTGATTCCACATCAACTAATATTTTTTTCATCGTGGATATGGAAAGCTTTATATTTTGAAGTTTTTCCAAAGTCTTATTAAATATCGACTTTTTTCTGGCAAATAGAGAATCCCGTAGTTCTTTTACTAGTCGAATGCCCTCGTAGTACTCGTTATAAAACTTGGCTTTTGATAGCTTGTTTAGCTCATTCTCGGTATAACTGTCTATTAGCAATAGTTTGGTAATCAATTCGTTATTCGTTTGAGATGTAAAATCGGTTAGTGCAGTTATATCAATGTAAACCCCACTTTCGATATCTATTAATCTGGCATCAATATTGTTCACATTGGGGTTTCCAATTTGATTTCGTAATAGAAAGTTTTCATTGACATCAAAGTAAAAACCCCGAAGTCCAAACTCTGCATTTGAGTCTAGTTTTTTTTCCTGGCTAAACACTTCAAATGTTCCGAAATCAGTGTAGTCGTATATGAGAGTATTGTTAATGGTTTTGCTGAGTTTGTATAGTGACTGAATCGGAACCTGAACATCAATATCAGCATCCCATGGCAACGATAGTCCATTGAAATACCAGCCAATGATGGATCCATGGTTGATCCAGGAGGGAATGTTGAATTGAAGACACAATCGAAACCATACACGCATTAAGCGATGCAATATAGCTAAATGATGGGCTTGGTCGTCTTTGGTTATGTCTTTGAAAAACCGAAAATCATAATGATCAAGGTTGTAGTCTTTAGTTGAAGCTAGACCAAAATATCGATTTTCCGGGATCCATATCTTGCCCAACCTTGCTTCCATTAGTGCTTTCAAATGATCGACTTGTTTATAGTCAATGTCATGTGTAGTATACAACGGTTCAGTGTTTTGAGATATGGCTTCTTGAATAGTGGGATCCTCGCAAGTTGTATTGTTCGTATGCGCTTTTTCGTTTGCAGATGCTGAGTAATGTGATTGCAAATGCTCATGTTCTTTTGATAAGTTCCATTGAAACAAAGAAAAATCGATATGTAACGGCTGATGACGATTTGTTGTGCCTGTGTTGGAATTTTTCAAAACATAGGGCTGAACAAATGAAAAATCATAATTTTCACAATCTTCCAGCAAATCTATTTGCTTTTGATTACCGTCTAGTGCACCCGGCTTTGAAAAAGCTGAAACGTTTTTGGCGCCATTGCTGATCTCGGAACGTTGATAAAAGGCATTCAACTTGGAAATTTCATTATAAGAATTAATACCATTTTCGATAATTTCATTGAGAGCATCTTCTTTTGACGAGTAATCGGTGGAATAGGATCTGATTTTAAGATTATTATTGATGAAAAAGGTGGACAACATATCAGTGTACAAGTTTTGCCTTGCCCTTCTGTTTCTGATGTTGTTGATTCCATCAGAAACAGAATAAGTTGGAATGACCAAGGAGCGTTTGCCGTATATTGGATATTGATTTGAAGTGCCATTTGAACCATTGGTGTGATGTGCAGTGTTGTTTTCATTGAGTATATTCAAAAAAATGATTCGTTGAGGAGCTTCTAATCCTGTAAGGCCATATATGAACCCGTACATTTTTCTAATCTCCAAATCGTTTAAATAGGTATCAACTTTTGAAACAAGTCGAAATGGCAAATTGTACAGATTGTGGAATGGCAAATTATACGGATTGTCAAATGGCTGGCAGATTGTGTTTTGGTTGTTGTTCTTTTGCAGTTCATCTGTTTCTGTTTTGTGCGAGTTGAGATATACAGACTGTAGTAGCTTGTCCTGAATCTGGCTGCTGGTGTATGATTGAGGATACACATTCTTATAGTTGGAGCAGACTTTTCCAAACTCTTTTAATGTGAATTCGTTGGATAACGCCAAATCCTGATATAAAAGGCTTTTGCAGTTTGAGCCTGACACAATCAAGGAATAATAGAAGGAGTTGTCTTTGAGCGAGTCGTAAAAATTCAATAGATCGTTCCAGTTGAAAGGGAGTTTGAAGTTGTTTGATATTTCAAATACATACTTGTTTTCAGTGTTGTTTGGAGACAACAAAGAAGCGCTGGGATTCGCTATCAAGTTGTTTAATATCAAATGCTGATTGATCAAATAGAGCCAAAAAGTAGGAAGAGTTCTCGGATCAAAATCAGGAGCAGAGGCTTCCCTTGCATTAAATAGTCTGATCACAGAGGACGAAAATTGGCCATATTCCAGCTTCAGATGCAAATTGATATTAATATTGTTGTAGGAGTTGTATGCGCCGATGGTCGTTTCGTTCACCAACAGTTGAAACTTGGATGCTAAATCGCTCGCTGTGAAATCAGCTTTTGGTATCTCTGGAGTGAAGCTGTTTTCAAGATAGTTGTGTTCAAACGAGCTGAGTGGGCAATGTGTATTGTCGTCGTTGGTGGCAATAGAAGCAACTAGCAAGGGCAAAGTTTCAAAAGCTCTTTTGGATTCCTCGCTCCACGATTGAAGCACAATAAAGATGGTGGTTGCGAGAAATAGAAAGGGAAATAGAACAAAGGAAACAAACCTCTTTGTCAATTTGCAACGAGCCCCCACAGAAGCAAAGAAGTTTGGCTTTGCTGGAGCATTGAGAGAAAGAGAAAGAAGCATTGAAGAAGCATGAAATATATTTCGGCTTGAGTGGTGAAGACTTAAAGGTTCTTTTCATTAAGCGCTTTGAAACCGGCTTTTGAGAGAAATAGGGTTCATGATCTGCATATCTGCGCATGGTCTCACTTCACATAGTTACCACCACGGTGGGTGCATGAATTCCTTATATATTTAATCGATATAATAGAAGAAACTAGTCTAATTTACCAGTTCTGGATAGTTGATTGAACACCAAATCAAGATTCTGTATATTTTGACATTGAACTAAATAATAATGTGAAATAATAATGTGGAATATTAATGTGGAATATTAATGTGGAATATTAAAAAGAGTCGCCCTACAAAACAGCTAACAAGAAGATTTATCAATTATTAATCTACCATTTACCCAAACCCTTGTGGTGTTTCGATCATCACCGTTAAATAACCATTTGGCTATTATATTTTCAAATAGTATTTTATCCTCCAGAACCAAATCCCCGTTTTCTAATAAATCATAATCAAGATCGTCATCATAATCATCATCAGAATTTATATTATTGGTATCATCAAGTTGTAATTTTTCACTTGCCGAGAGCTTTAAGTTATCACTGGAATCAATTATATCACTACTAGCTTGTTCCTTATCATTTCCAATAAATTCTCTTTCCAACTTATTATGGAAATATTTCGGTAATTGCCAGCTAAAGATATCTACCTGGGAATCCCTTTCTCGGAGATTAATCAATTGGCAATCCCATTTCTTACCAACGTGGAAATCTCCTATCAACTCTTCCAAACTCAACACTTTTGCTCCACCCAATGTAGCTAAATATAGGACATCGTTGACTGACAATTTATCGTGCTCTTCAAATGTTTTCATAGACAAATGCCTAGAAACCAATAAAGCGTGGCGAGCAGTCGAAAGAATCGAGGGAGCAAATCCACCAGACACATCGGTACCCAAACCCACATTAATTGAATCATCTAATAGCCAACGAATTCTGGCTTCGCCCGAAGTAATTGAGGAATTTGAAATTGGGCAATGAGATATTCCCGATTTTTTTAATTTAATTAATTTTTTTTCATCATTGTTTAAATGAATTGCATGAGCTAGAACTGTTTTTGAAGTTAATAAATTGTGGTCATCGTAAACTGACGTGTAATTTTTGGAGCTTGGGAATAATTGTTTAACCCATTGGATTTCATTCTTATTTTCCGAAATATGAGTTTGAATGTGTAGATCATTCTTTTTGGATAGATCACCAAGCCAGTTTAATAAATTTGAAGTGCAACTTGGAGCAAATCTTGGAGTTATAATTGGTAATACGATATTTTCCTCAATTTTATTAGTTCTTGAAATCGAGTTTTGAATTTTGTTTAAATGTTTGANATGATTCAAGACCTTTTCAGTTGATGATTTCGATTGATTTAGATCTTCAACATAATAATCAGGCGAATTATCATTCATGCAAACTCGGCCAATTAAACCTCTCTGACCATTTTGGAAACATAAGTTGGCTAATAAATTTGTTGCATTTGGATCGATTGTAGCAAAATATGAGGCAGTTGTTGTGCCATTGTATAATGTTTTTTTAATAACTTTCGAATAAATATCGTTTGCAATTTGAAGATTTTTAAATGAGGCCTCCAAGGGAAAAGTATAAGTAGTTAACCAGTCCAATAAAGTTGCGTTGCCAAATATACCACAGTTTGGATATTGTGGGGCATGGATATGAGTATCAACAAAACCTGGAAAAAAAAATGAATAAGGGTTTGAAGTTATATTAAATAAATCAATCTCCGAGACGCTTAAATTGGGATTGTAATCTAAAGCATCTTTAGTTGGATTAGATGAATTTTTATTAATAAAGACAATTACACCATCTAAATCAACTCCAACTGAGCAACTTGGTAATATTTCAATTTCACCTAATTGCGGAGTATGAACTAAAGTGCCATAGTAAACAGTGAAACGTAGGGGAGATAGAGCAGAAGATTTAATAGTATCCAATTGGGTATATGGAGAATATTTCAATGAGGAAATCGAGTTGCAATTTTTGGTTGAAGAATTTTGAGCTATAGTCATTTTGAAGTATCATATAACGTGGTAACCATGAAACAGATCAATAATATAACCCATAGAATGCTAAGTGATAGGCAAAAAAGCAATCACAAAAAAGGCAACAATCAAAGTATTTATATTAAAACAACACCTGTATTTATTACTGATTTTAACAAAAAAATATCAGACATTTTAAAAGGTTTTTATTGTTTCTATTGATTTAGTGCTGCTTCTTGAGCACTGAAAATCGAAACGCAATAGCCAGCACAGATGTAAAAGATAGAGATAAAGATTGTACTGCTGTCCGCGGAAACGACGAAGTGGGCCGCGGAAGCAAACTAGCCGCAGATTCAAACTTGCCGCACGTGGAATGTTTTCGAGTCTAAAACAAGTTGCGAAAAGCCGCGAAATTTGATTGTTTTTTCAACTTCTAAAGAAAAACGGAATTTTTGGAATAAAAACGGGAGCTGTCAAATAAATTGGCTGTTGCTATACAGTAGAATTATTAAATTTGGGAAGTCCGGCCTGGCAGGACGCCTATTGGTAGAGAGCCAGCATGATGTAAGAAAGTTGTCTTCGTATTCAAAGTGGTTTTCATATAAGCTATGCAGTTATTTGAGTTACATGCATCGACATTCATTGACATACATGAGATCAAACAAATAAAACAATGCAACTTTGCGATTTCTATTGTTTTCTGTTGTTTTCTTGTTTTTGAAAAGTAGAATATTTTTCTTTTTGATTTTAATCTATCCAGCAAATAAAACAAATCGCTTTCAACAGAATCACCAAAAATCGTGTGTTGTTTTGGATAGCGCCCTGCTTATTCAAGCAGAAGCCGTGTTTTTTGCAACGGACAAAGCGTCCGAAGGTTCCAAACACCGTCACAATGCGGTCCCGGACAGACACACGAGTTTCCGCCGGCTGCCGTTGCCCGGACGTAGTGCCAGAGACAGTCTTGGTGGAAGCGAGTGCGACAGTGGCTGTTTGTGCAGCTGAGTCCGAACGTGAAGAGACCGTGGCAACCAGCACAGACGTAGAGGAGGCCGTCCGCGTTGACATCAACCGTGTTATCGGGCACTCCGGCCAGACAAACGCCGTACTCGTCGATCAAGGCCTCGCGTAGCTCAATCAAGGTACGGTTGCCGACGTAGAGCGTTCCGGCCGAGTTTGTGTTGAGCCAGCCGTTGCGAAGAAGCTGCTTGAGAAGGAGACGGACGAACTTGAAGCCGACGCCGAGCTCGGACGCAAACACGTAGACCTCTCGGGGCGTGATGGAGAAGGTGCTTGTGTTGCGTGTGAGGATGGTTTCCAATATCTTTCTGATGACGCCCACAGAGTCTGCTCTGAAATACGAGGCCAACTTTGATGCCTCGTCCATCTTCAAGTTAACAAACGTGTAGTAGATTTTGCTTTCCACCCTTTCGATTTTTCTGTCTCTGTGTCTAACGTAGTTGTTGGCAGCTGGAGTGTGTTCTTCATCGCTGCTGTTTTCTTCCTGCTCTCCATCTTTGTTGTTATCTATATCGGCATTATCCACTGGGTTATTTGGATCGTCAGAATAGAATGTGCAAAGATCGTAGTGGTTCTTGAACTTCTTCACCTCGAAATCTACTGGCTCCAATAATAAGTTCATCTCATGCACCAATTTTTCCAACCTATTCAATAAAAAGTGCTTATCCAGTTGCATCAACTCCTGAAATGCCTCCAATGCCTCAATTCGGTTTTCTTCATCATAATCTTCCTCGATTTTACTAACCATCAAATCTTTCACAAACTCACTTAAATCTTGTTGAGATATCAATTTCACCGATATAATATATTGAAGTAAAGGTCTATGGTCAACTCTGAGCCTCTTGATTTCTTCCCTACTCATCTGTAATATTTGGTCTCACCTTCTCTTATCTTATTTTGTATTATATTGTATTATCCAATCTTACCTATAACAATATTATCGCCAATATTTATTATATTCAATTGTATTCATTTTTCATTTCCGCGTGTATTTTAAATTTGAAAATTTAAAACTTGGATCTGTTTTCAGCTATTTTTTATTCATTCAAAATACTCTTTATTACCATCTATTTCTCGTTTTTATTAGCTAACCAACTAATCAAACACTTTTCATTGATTGAACCATCAACAAACTTTTGAAATGCAAATCAAAGAAGAAATCCCCAATGAAATTGCTCATTTAATCCCATCTAAAAGATCTCGTTCTCCAACTCTTCTGTTGTCCGACACTGACTCCAATTCTCATATCACCAACAATACTACTACTACTACTACTACTACTACTACTACTACTAATAATAATAATAATAATAATACACCAATTCATCATCATAAGAAAAATCATAAAAATCATCATCTATTCACAAATAACTATCATCATCATAATAGCCACACAAACATATTTACAAATCCAAACACTCCCAATCCCAATGATAATTCAAATTCAAATTCAAATTCAATTCCACAAAATGATCCAGATAATCAAAATAATTTGAAAAAATTATTACAGGTCTTCAATCTAAAAGATATAATGGATGATACCATCTCCTCAATCCCTTCCAAAAAATTATCTGTAAAGATTCACAATACTTCTTTATTATCTTCCGAAGATATCAAAATCTTAAAATCAAAAGATACTGATTTTCAATCAAATAATCACAACCATAGCAATAGTAATAACAATATCAATAGTGATAACGATAACGATAACGACAGCCAAATGGAGATAGAAAATAATCAAAATCAACTACCTTTCTATTTCTTAGAAGAAGACGTTGTTAATAGACGCTACTTCAAATACAGACCCTTAAGACCAAACTTATACCTAATAGCTAATCGCTCTTGTGGAACCAGCGACTTGCCACCTTATAAATCAAGATTGAGCTATTTTAGTAGATCAAAAGGTGCTTATACGAACAAAAATTTAGATATGGTTTCAACAAACCAAGGCTGGAGAAGTATCAAGACAAATGTTGCAATCTCTGAAGGAACTTGGTACTTTGAATTTCTAATAATAAACGCAAACGATGAAATAGTAGATCATAATACCAACACAAATAATAATAACAACAACTTTAATCAAACAAATTTTAGCAACAAATACATCACCAACAACAAAAACAATAATGACCATAACAATGAAAATTTCAATATTAGAAACTTTTCTCCTCATGTTAGAATTGGAATTGGAAGAAGAGAAGCTGTAAACGAAGCTCCAGTAGGTTACGATGCCTACAGTTATGGCTTACGAGATATAACTGGCCAAAAAGTCCATCTTTCAAAACCAAAAGAGTTCATGAAATCTGGTTTCAAGTCTGGTGATGTTATCGGGTTTTTAGTCAATTTGCCTTCTTTTGAAATCCAAAAGGAAATCGCTAAAAAACAACTTGAGAAGGGCACTTTAAGTGATCCGTATAACGAAAATTGCAACAATTTCTTTATAAATGAATTTAAAGACAAGTCTAAAAATGAAAAAAAATTAAAACAAACCATAAATAAAATTAAATCTCTAAATTTCGATGATATTCAATACATAACAAGAGATCATTTTCCTGTCAAGTATAAAAGCAAACTTTACTATGAATCATTTGAATATGTTTCCTCAAAAGAAATGGAACATCTTCTAAATCCATTAACTGTTTTTGGTGAAATGGCCATACCAGATTTTCAAAAATTTAGACCTGCTACTTTGCCAAATTCTTCTATAACTGTCTTTAAAAATGGTCAAAATATGGGCAAAATGTTTGAAGATTTATACACGTTTTTACCGCCAAATTCTCGTCAAGTTAATCAAAATAAAACGAGAAAGGAAAATGAAGCAATTTTCAAAAACGATGGTTCATTGGGCTACTATCCTATGATTAGTGTATTTAAAGAAGGCGTAGTTAAATTTAATCCGGGTCCAACCTTTTTAAGGTTGCCTGAAGAGATTAAAATTGGAATTGAAAATAAATCAATCAGAGGATTTTATGAGAGATATGAAGATAAGATAGTTGAAGATGTATTATATGATATAATAGATGAAATTGAAAACGAATTTGCATTTGGCTATGAATTGTTTTAGAATAAAAATAAAAATAAAAAACCAATAAATAATTGACTGATTAATCTAATTATTACTTATTAATTGGAGATATTTGTCTCACAACTCCATTGATCGTATCGCTCAATTCTGGAAATTCTGGAAATTCTGGAAATTCTGCTATTATTATCTCTCCTAAAGTATCTAAAGATTTTGATGACAATCATTTTACCTCCAAAATATTAATTTATTTTTCTTGTGGATTGAACAAATTTTCTTATATAAATATTGGTGCTTTTACCTATTTCGATGTACTGAATGACGTCTAGTGGAATCTTAACATTTGATAACTCATTTTCCTTAAAATTAGGCAATTGAATTAAATTTGCAACAGTTAAAATCAAACCTGAAAATTCTATACTCTCTTAGCTAAATTTGAGATAACATCTATCTCTGGTTTTATCTCAACAGTGGTCTGTGTTGCTTGCTTCAATTGGACCTCTTCCTAGCTTTTGAATTAGGGTCTGAATTGAGTGGGATTTTATATGCCCTACAAAATGAAATTGCATTATTCTTTTTAGAAGCTTTTCTTTCTCACTAACACTCTCTTTATCGTACTGCTTCTAGTTTATTGGTATGTTCAGCTATCTGGTGCAATTAATTTTTCTCATTTTACTTATATTCCATCTCTACAAAAGATACGCAATTGTTTGAATGAATATATTTATTGGATAAAAATAAATAATGTAATTATCTTGCTTTTCTCTATGGTTTGGTCTCTCATATTCTCGTCTTTATCATTCAAAATAATACTAGTTCTGTTGCACGTATTTATCACATTTCTCAGAATTATACAACAAAACAACTACCTTCAAAATCTCAGCTTCCAAGTTAGCCAACCTGTCCATCTGATCTAAGACTATCGTTGATGAATTTCCAATTTTTTTCCTGGTGAGGAACTATTCAAATTAGAAAAGACAGGGGTTCTTCTATCATTTAAAGTTACAAATACCATGGTCAATACATTACAATTCACCACAACTAAATAATAATCTATTTAACAACCAAAAACAACTAAATCATGCTTCAGCTTGACAGACATAGGACCTTGGAACAATTAGACGTTTATCTACTTATAACGAATAAAAGAGTTTGGCGTTCAATCACGAAAGCAAACTGTTTCCAGACCTTCAGGCCAAACCGTTTTAATGGACAGCAGTATTTCCACATCTATGGCCTATTACTTCGGTGTTGGCGACATTGAAAAATTTCAGTTTCTGTCAAAATGATAATTTATGTCTCCAACAAAAATTGTCTTGTCGCCTGATGTAAATTGAAGTATATTTTAACAACTACATATCCAATACAATTAAAATCTTTTAAGGGACAATTACTATTATGTTTTGAGAGCAAATGTTTTGGAAGCAGTAAATGAAAAAGACTATTTCTGTAATAAGTTCTACGCAGAATTTGAGTTCAAAGACTTGGTATAGTTAAGTTTGTCTGTGTTTGGTGAATCTTTAATTTTTGTAGTCTAGTTTGTGCTATTATTTTACTAATCTCATCCTTGTTATTTGTCATAATAAGTGGAATTTTTTCTTGAAAAGAATTCTTAAACGGATTTATTCTTGGATCCAATGGTGAGAAAGAATTTATTGAGAAAATAGGAATTCTACATTACTTTATTTTGGCATCTAGAAACAAAAAATCAAAGCAAAACAAAATATAAATAAATAAATAAATAAATAAATAAATAAATAAATAAATAAAATCAAATAAGAATATGTAAAATAAATGTAATTTATTTTAAATATAGAACTTCAGTTGTATCTTAAAGGTAACTAACCCTTAACCTGTCTTCTAGTTAACCCATCTTCTTGCAGACCTAAACAATCTTATCCAAGGCCCATAATCGCCCCAGTTCTCATCACTGGGATACCATGAATTGGCCTCCTTACGACACACTCTCTCTGGATGAGGCATCATTGCCAACACTCTGCCGTTAGGACTCTTGATACCTGTAATGCCACCAGGCGATCCGTTGGGGTTGAATGGGTAGCGCTCTGTCACTTTGCCATAGTTATCAACGTATCTCACAACACCCAACTGCTCAGCTTCAAATTGCTTGTACTGGCCCTTCTTTCCAAAACCGGCCCTTCCTTCACCATGTGCAACTGCAATGGGCAACCTCGACCCACTCATTCCATCCAAGAAGATGCTTTTCTGGTTTTTGCCAGTATTGATGTTTTCATTATCTTCATCTTTGATCTCAACCATACAGAACCTAGCTTCATATTGTTCACTTGTGTTTCGTTCAAATACCGGCCAGTCCTCTGTTCCTGGAATCACTTCAGCAATTCTGGACAAAAACTGACACCCATTGCAAGCACCAAACGCAAATGTGTCGCTTCTGTCGTTGAAAAACCTTTTGAATTCCGAGCGAAGCTGAGGATGGTATAAAACTGAAGTTGCCCAACCGTTTCCAGCACCAAGCACGTCGCCATAGCTGAAACCACCACAAGCAGCAATACCAACAAAGTCGTCTAATTCAACATTTTTTGACAACAAATCTGACATATGAACGTCCACGGACGTAAACCCAGCTTGCTCAAAACACCACGCCATTTCCTGCTGTCCATTCACTCCCTGCTCACGAAGAATTGCAACCTTGGGTCTGCTGCTCATCTGACAGATCTTCATGTTGTCTGCTGGATTGTATGTTAACGTATATGATAGCCCAGGATCTGCGTCGTCGTTGATGTTCTCGAATTCTTCCTTTGCACATTGTGGATTGTCTCTTAATTTTTGTATTTCGTAGGACGTGGATGTCCATAACTGTTGCAATCGGGATCTAGTTTCATTGATTATTACTTGATTGTTAAAAACCACTGATATTGTCTTGGGCTTACCGTCACTGCTGAAGTGAGGTTTACCAACGATCTGAATGTAAGTTGATGGTATGCCATTCTGATTTAAGATATTTTCAAATTTGTCAAAATCTTTAGCTGCAATCTGGAATACTCCACCCAATTCTTCGTTGAATAGATACTCATATGCATTAGCATCAGTGTCTGCAAACACATTAATATCCAACCCACATCTAGCAGCAAACGCCATTTCTAGCAACGTAACAATCAACCCACCATCTGATCGATCGTGGTATGCTAAAACAAGGTCCTTGTGTTTGTGCAACCCAATCAACCCAAGAATAAAGCCCTTGAGTATCTTTTTGTCGTGCACCTTGGGACAAGAGTTGCTGGTCTGCTTGTACACCTGGAATAAAGCAGAGCCACCAAGCGACTTTTTGAACTCTGTAGATAAATCAACAAGCACCAATATTGTTTCCAGGTTGTGCTGTAACGTAGGAGTCCATGTTAGTCCTGTGTTCTGCACTGGAGCAAACGCTGTGATCACCAACGACAACGGAGAGCTGACCTCCTTGTTTTCCCACTTCATCTTCATCGACATCGAGTCCTTACCCACTGGAATCGAGATCCCTAGCTCTGGGCATAGATCCATTCCAATTGACTTCACTGCTTCATACAACTCGCTTTCGCTTCCTGGAGCAACCATCCAGTTGGCTGACAATTTCACCCTGTTCAACGAGCTGATGTTAGCGCTGAAGATGTTCAACAAGGACTCAGCAACAGCCATCTGGGCAGAGGCAGAGGGTGAGATCAAAGCAAGTAGGGGCTTCTCCCCTATTGAAAGAGCTTCTCCTGTTTTAATTGTCTTTCCTTCGGGGTAGAGGGATGAACAAGTTACACCAACATTACTTACTGGCACTTGGTAAGGACCGACAAACTGGTCCCTATCAACAAGCCCCGTAATTGATCTGTCCCCAATTGTGATTAAAAAGGACTTGGAGCCCACAGAGGGCAACTGTAACACCTTCTCAAGGGCTTCTTGGTATCCATTTCCCACAAACGAGTAGTCCGATGTCTCCTCTGGCAACCTCAATGTCTTGGTGTTTGCTTCAATCTCCAACTTGGGTGCCTTGCCAAACAACACTGACATTTCCAAGTCAATTGGCGTGTTTCCAAACAACTCATCCACAAGCAACAACTTCTTTTCGGAAGTGGTCTTTCCAACAACTGAAAATGGAGCTCTTTCTCTCTTACACAAGCCTTCAAAAAACTCCAAGTCCTTGGGATCGATGGCCAACACATATCGCTCTTGAGACTCATTGCACCATATCTCCATGGGTGACATTCCTGGCTCAAGCGACAATATCTTTCGCAACTCAAAAACAGCGCCCAAATCGTTGTCGTGAACCAACTCTGGAAGAGCATTTGATAACCCACCAGCACCCACATCGTGGATACTCAATATAGGGTTCATATCACCTAGAAACACACAAGCATCAATCACTTGCTGACAGCGTCTTTGCATTTCGGGATTGCCTCGTTGCACTGATGCAAAATCCAAATCAGCAGAACCTTCGCCGGATGCCTTGGACGAGGCAGCACCTCCTCCTAATCCAATCAACATCGACTCACCACCCAACACAATCACAAGATCATTGGCCTTGATGCTATTGTCCTTCAATGTCAAGTTGGGGCGGATTGCTCCCATTCCACCAGCAAGCATGATGGGCTTGTGGTATCCCTTAATCTGCTTGCTTCCATCTTCACCAGCTTCAATCTCGCTGGTCAATGTTCTAAAGTATCCAGCAATGCAAGGTCGCCCAAACTCGTTGTTGAAGGCAGCAGACCCTAGGGGAGCCTGTATCATGATTTCCAATGCAGATGCAATGTGATTGGGCTTTCCAACGTCCAACTCCCATGGTTGCACAAACCCTGGTATATTCAAGTCAGAAACATTGTAACCAGACATACCAGCTTTGGTCTTTGACCCCTTTCCCACAGCAGCCTCGTCTCTGATCTCACCTCCCGAGCCAGTGGCAGCACCTGGAAATGGTGACACTGCTGTTGGATGATTGTGTGTTTCCACCTTGATCAACGTGTGCACCAACTCACGACTGGCCTTCCAAGTCTTGGTCTTGATGTTGGGCGAATAGTGGAAGGCTTCATGTCCTTCAAATACAGCAGCATTGTCTGAGTATGCACTGATTGTGTACTGGGGGCTCTTTCTATGTGTGTTCCTGATCATATCAAACAACGAGTTGACTTGTGCAACACCATCAATCTTCCAGTTGGCATTGAATATTTTGTGACGGCAGTGCTCTGAGTTCACTTGAGCAAACATAAATAACTCGACATCGCTGGGGTTTCTCTTGAGCACATGAACAAAGCTCTGGATAAGGTAGTTCAACTCGTACTCATTGAGTGACAACCCTAAGTCAATATTGGTCTTCTGGAGGGTGCCTTTGGGATCGCTGGAGCCCAACAAGTCGATGTACACTAGTGGCTTGGGCTTGTGATGGGTGAACAAAAACTGGTCCAACTCTGGCATCGAGTTGATGAATATCGACTGTGTCATTCGATCGTAGATTGATTCCAAAGAGCTGATCAATTTTAAGTGGTCAATGTTTGATGAATTGATGGTGTTGCCATTGCCATCCCCAGCACCTAATTGAAACAACAACGTCAATCCTCTTTCAACTCGCTCAACAAACCCATCCAACCCACACACTTGGGCGATGTTCGTTGCCTTCGAAGACCATGGAGAGATGGTGCCTGATCGTGGAACAATGGTGATCAAGAGCGAGTTGTTTGATTCAAAACCAGACTTGTCGAACTCAGCTGACTGTTTGTTGTCTGGATAGACATTTTCCATTATATTTTTAAACTTGGCATCGACTGGAATAGTGTCGTAGTCCAATAAGTCGGTTAAGGATTTCAATTCAGTGTCGTCAATGGCCCTGGATAGCGAAACATAGTGGACAAAAGTCGAGTCAATCTTGGAAACCAAATTGTTGCCAGTGGTTGCAAATTGCAAATTGATATCAGTGATGATTTTATTGATTCTAAATGACGACAAGGCATTTCCACCAATAAAAACAGAGTTAGTTGTTTTCATTTTTTGTATTTTTTATATTTTATGAACTTTTTTGTATATTATGAATTTTTTTTTATGTATTTTTTATGGATTGTTTATGGATGTTTTATGGATTTTTTACGGGTATTTTATGAATATTTTATGAGCTTATTATAAGATTATCTTGGGTATCTTGAATCTTCAATGATAACTCGTGTGTATCTCCAAAATCATGAAATGAAGTTTGTGAATATTGTTTAACAACACGATGAGATGAGATTACCCAAGTATTCTGATTTGGAGTCTCATCGATAAATTTTTTTCTGCGAGATTTCGCAGCCAATAGAAATTAGCCAATGGAAATTAACCCAAAATGCAAACAGAAACAACCGAAAAAGAGCATCGATGAAGGTAGGTAGAAAGCGGTAGAGAGCGGTGGGCTTATGCAGACCACGTTTGTGGTCCGTGGTGGTTCAATTTTGTGTTGTTTGAGCAGATTTTGGCGATGGAAGCGATGGCATTGAGGTGGTTGAGCTGGAGAAGAAGAGATGTGAAGATGGAGGATGAGAGCTGGAGAAGATCTGGGCGAGAGCTCGATGGATATTGCTTATAATTGCTTATATTAATAAATTTGGGAGAAAAAAGAGATTGAAATTTGCATTTAACAATTCACAATTATTTAAAGCACAATAAGTTCAAATAGAAAAGAAGAAAAGAAGAAAAGAAGAAAAGAAGAAAAGGAGAAAAGAAGAAAAGGAGAAAAGGAGAGAACAGATAAATATTTTTTTCAATTTTTTAGAAATCACCACCTTTCATTATGAATCATAATTTTCAATCATTATTCAGCATTGACGATTTTGGAGATGATAAGCTCTGCAATACGTCACTTGAATTTACTAATGATGATAATTTAAACAGTGCTAATATTAAGAATAACATTAAAAATAGTATCAAGAACATTGAAAGAGATTTTGAAGAATTGCAGGATTTTGAAGGTTTTCAATATAATGGTTATGATAATTATCACTGTGATTTATTTGAGAATAATGAATATAATTTGAGATCTTCTATTGGTGAGACAAATTTATTTCGAGCACTTTCGTTGAATTCTGGGGTTGGCTCGAATAAAAATTATAATTGTAATAATCACAAGTTTAATAATTACATGTATGATAATTACAAATTCAATAGGTTTGATATTCAGGATAATGTGAAAGAAAATAATACCAATTGGGGGATATTAATATTTCGAATAATTGAAAACAACGATCATAAAGCATCTACATTTTTACAAAATTTTATAAAAAAATCTTCTGATAATAGTTTTAGTATTAACGATGAAAACAGTGGTATTCCGGATCAATTAATCGGTTTGATAACTAGTAATTGCATTGAGCTTATGATGAGTAAATATGGGAACTACTTGGTTCAAATTTGTTTTGATTATTCCAGCTTGAATCAAATTAATAAGATTTGTGAGGTTTTCACAAAGGACAAAAATGATATATTGAGACTATCAATGAATTTATTTGGATGCCATTCATTGCAAAAAATTATAACAAGTTTAAATGTTGGATTATATTACAAGAAAAAAATATTTGAGGAATTATTGAACAGGTTTAATGTAACGGTGAGAAATAAATATTCAGGGCATATTTGGCAAAAACTATTACAGTCCGATTTTAAATTGAAACTAAGTGTTCTAGTTGAATTGAATAAGAAATTGGAGAAAAATTGGATAAAAATAGGTAAAACCGAAAGTGGCAGTTTAATTATTCAAACCGTATTTGAGAATTACTCGGGCGATAAATCAGTTGAGAAGCAAGTTTTAATTGATGAAATCATTGATGGCTACGAGGAATTGATTGTAAACAAATGGGGGAACTGGATAATAAACCACTTGATTTCATTTGGTGAAAAAGAGGATCAAGAAAGGTTGATCAGCAAAATATTTGCAAAAGAAAAAAACTTGGTGCAATTCAGCACCAACCCTTACAGCTCCAAGGTGCTATTGAAGATATTCCAAAGCCATCCCAACGACATGGCACTTGCAGAAAAGTACATCAACACCATTTGCACCAGAGGCAGTTCCTCCAAGGTGGCGTTGATTGACGGTAAGATTACACCTTTCTCTGCTTCTTCTGCCTCTGCTTCCAGATTACTAACAGTACCAGTTGCCTCCAACATGCACGGAAGCGCCATCGTGCAGCTCCTTCTCGGCCTGCAGTGGGCCGGTGTTCATAACCCGTTGGCCCGAGCCGTGCACCGCCACAGCGTCTCGATCAAAAGCAGCAAGCCTGGCTGTCGGTGTGCGCAGCTCTCTGCAGCATTAGCACAGCGGACTGCTGTTTGAGTCCATCGGTGCGGGTCTTCTTTGTTGAATATATCTATCGCTTTTTTGGGTGTTGCTGAGCAACTTTGGCTTGAGTCGAGTTGAAGAAACTGACTGGGGTGGTTCTCGAGCCTCGTTGTCTTGCTTTTTTCTTCTTTTTTATGCACTGCAACTAGTATTTATATCTGTCTCTTGCCTTTCTTTCTTCTCTGTTTTTTTTCTTGTGCCAACATGAAAGTCAAGACCTTCAAGCACGCAAATACACCCACCAGGAATGTTGTCTACGCCGGTCTGAACCCCAATTCCAGCTCAATCAGCAACAAGTCCTCTCTACCTTCCATCGACAAATACATTCCAACTTCAATTATTGCTCAAATCGAAGAGCAAAGTTTGAAGAACGATTTTGACGATATCACCTCCAGAAACACAAAGTTGAATTCTCTCACCTCAAATTCCAACTCATTTCAGCCCAATATCGCCAATAATACCAGTTCTGGCACAAAAAACAACACCATTATTAACGAAAATATCAGCAGGAAGGCCTCTCCAAGCAGAAACAAAAAACCTTATAACATGAACTATAATTTAAATCACTATCGTCAATCATATTCCAGCAATCCACTGGATGCTGCAAAAGCTGCTGCTTCAGCGATAAATAACTCAGGAAGCTCTTTAAGATCCTACTCATTAAACTCTACTTCTCCATACTATAATCAGTTTGATTTCGATTCGCCTGCCTCCTTTGTTCAAAATCATTCCAATAATCAAGTCAAATTACACAGATTAAATCAGTTGACCAGTCTATCCAGTTTACCTAGTTCAAATCATAATAATATTCAAAATAACTTAATAAGACCGAATTATTCATTATCAAATCGTCGTTCTCAATCTTTATTGAATTACCCTTTATCTTCTGTTAATCAAAATCATCCAAATCACCAACATTATCAAACTAACTTAATCACTCCACAAAATTCTCAATTGAAATTGAAATCTCCAATAAAAAATAACAATTCCAAAAAAAAACATTCAATAGATAATTTACCTTTATCAAATAATCCAAAAATGAATTCAAACATAAGCTCATTAAACACCTCACTAACTAACTCATTAAACAATTTTTCAAATATTATTAAAACATCAACAACTCAAAAAGGAAACATCACCATTAAAAAGACTAAAATATTCGACCCAAATGGCAATTTGAGAAAAATATCAATCAAATCAATCAAAAAATTAAATGGTTATGATATAATTAAATCAAACTCAATTGAAATTCCAAATCCTACTCTAAATACTAACCCCAATATGAACGCCAACACTAATTCTAACTCTAATATTCAAAATAATAATAATCAAAATATCGATATTTGGAAAGATTTTGAAACATTAAATGAAGAACCTGATTCGGACCTGGAGTTTGATATAGATTACAATTTCAATCAAGAATTAAATAACTTTCAAAATAATCTTGAAACTAATCATAACACAAACACATTATCAAATACATTACCAAATAAACCAAAAATTAAAATAAACACTCAATTAAACAATAAAATCAGTCAAGAACTTTTTTCTTCCCACACTACTCAATCTCAATCTCAATCCCCAAATAAACAATTCAACCCAAACCCTTCAAATAATAATCTTGAGGATTCAGAACCTTTTAGCTTTGAGGATAAATCTGGCTCTATAGATGATAACATTAATAATAACAATGTTCTTATAATTAACGGCAAATTTGACAATAAAATTACAAAAAAAACTGTCGCAAAGACTGATAATAAAATCAATACTAAAACAAAACTAGATTTATTCAATATTCAAACATCTCATCAAAAAAACGATCCAAATCCTAGCTCTAATTTGGTCATTGATAACTATCTCGGCCAAATTCCCTCAAATATCATCGAAATTGATAACAACAGTTCCTTAGTTGAAACTGAGCCTTTAAATTTAAACCGGACCTCAGTTCCAAATTTTAACTCAATTTATAAAAACACAGATAATGATTATAAATTCATTTCATTTTCTGGCCCAAGAAAACTCAAATCTACTCCTCTGTTGACTCCTATATCTCAAAACCTACCTACTATCCTAAATACAAAAAGATCTACTCCTTCTTTGATTGCCAATGATGATATTCCTGCTCGTTCAATTAATAGATTGCCCGAAGTACAAATGCATAGAAGAACCTCTTCAAAATTGTCTTCCGCTGCTTCGAATTTACCTTCTCCTTCTCCAATACACGACTCAAATAATATATTTAATTTAAGTAATGGCAGGATTAATCCTAATATGAACATCGATTTGTTAAAGACTCCCCAAAGTAAATATGATGATTGCTCAATTCCAGTTCATACAACTCCGCCAACTTCTGAATCAAATTGTTCTTCTCCTAGAAAAAAAATATACAGTGTTAATTTTGCCCAGGGCGTTCAATATATTAATAATGATACTAACGATAATGATAAAAGCGTTAAAGATGGAAATAAAACTAAACGTCCAAGTGATTATTCTGAAGCTGAATTGTATGCTAAAGCTTTAGAGGTTGCAAAAGAAAGAGTTTATGGAAATAGTTCTCACGAGAATAGTAACTTGGTTTTACAAAAACCTCAAACAAGAAGATTTAATAGTGGTGGGATTAGAAAATTTAATGATTCTGATCGATCCTTCTCTTTAAGAAGTGATAGCTCAAAAGATAAAAATAAATTGCGAACAATGTCATTAACAAGTTCACTTTTTGGCCAAAATAGCAAAATTTCTACTAATAATCGAAATCATTCAATTTTATCTTTAGATTCTCAACTTTTAAATAAGTCACAATTCAATAAAAGAAATTTAAGCAATAATAGTGAGTCTGACTTGGAAAATAGTTTGAGTGCACAAAAAACATATTCTGGTACGCTGAAAGCTTTTGTTAGCCATTCATTGAGAAATAATGATCTCGAAAATAATTCGAATCATCTTTCTCAAGAAAATATTACAAAAATAGTTGACGATGAAATTATGTCTAAAAAGGAAAAAAAACGCCAGCGAAAATATCTTGAGGAAAAAATAAAATTAAGTCAAATGAGTTTAAAAGAAGAAATTGCAAAAGTTCAACAAAATGCCCCAAAAAAGGTTTCATCAAATGATAAAAATGTATCAAAAAATTCAAATAATAAAAATAAGCATACATTCAAAAGATTCTCAATTCATAGTAGCAGTAATAACAAATCAAAAAATCATAAATCCACGAAAAAGGATGAGCATAAATCAAACAAAAATATTAATATATCGAGTAATAAATCTCCAACAAAACCTGATAACAATGATAATAATCAAAATTTAATGAAGGAATCGGTTGTTTCAACCTCAGAACCAATACATGCTAATAATCATAAAGCCTCAAAATTAAAAAAATTGTTTTCTAAGTTTTAATCAGTCAATTGGACAAATTTTCATTAATTTTTTTTCCCTAAAATATTTGTACTTTTTATAATTTTTCTTTCTTTTGATAGACTTATTCTTTTTGTTTTTTTGTTTTTTTGTTTTTTTGTATTTTTTGATGTATTTTTTTGATATTTCTTTAATATTTCTTTAATACCTTTAACTCTTCTTAATATTTTAATTTTTTAAATTTTTATATTTTTTGATTTTTTCTTGTTTTATATAGGATATGTAATGAAATAGACTAATGACAATCATGCAATTTGGATTTAATATAATATAATATAATAAATGTAATTTTACACATTTTGATATTTATTTCTACAAATGAGTGAAATAAGGGTGAAATAAAATTATTCATGCCTTTTTTATAATAAACAAACCAAAATAAATGGACCCTTCAATTTCATTAAAAATTTATTTAGTATTAAAATTAAGCTTCTAAAGAAAGACGACCTTTTGGATTAGTAACTTTTAAACCTAAGGCTTTTGCACGTTTGAGAATATCAACTCTATTACGGGAAGAAACATTGTGAGCAATTTCAGCAGCATATGATTTTGTGTGCAATAATAATAAATCTAAATCTTTGACATTAGCAACTAAGAAAGCTTTGTGACCAGAAGGCATCATACCTCTAGTTTTTTTATTTGAACCATAACCTATTTTTGGTTGAGAAATGGTACCTCTGAAACGACGACGAACACATGAATCAATACCTTTTTGTTTTCTCCAGTTTTCAGAGACACGATGGTAACGATCAGAGTGGTGACGTTTGAACTTCTTTTGGTGCTTTTTAACGATTTTTGGATGTGGTAATGAGGCAGCCATCTTGGAACATAATAAAATAAAGTTAGTAATTGATTGTCAAAATGATAATGCCAATTATACAATTGTGTTCAAATCATAAGATATTATTGGAATGTTTTGATATTATTGAATTGTTTTGGTATTTGTAAATATTTTTAGATATTAATTTTTTATTCATTATAAAAATATTTTGGTTTATTTTCTATCAAGCTTAAATATTCTATGAAAAATACATTTGCTATAAATTTATAATCAAGTCTTGCTTTTTTGAAAAAATTCCAATTTGTATAGAAGATCATGTAACATTATATGGTAACTATTACTACCATAGTGTTTTTAAACTCATTATTTTTGATTTTTCATAAAAAAGTAGAAATGCAAAATACAATTATTTTTACTACATTTGCTTTAGTTTTTTATTTACTTGTTTTCTTTTTCTGAAATATTTTTGAATTTATTTATTCTGGAAAGTCAAAACCAAAATATATTTTTTTGAAATAAACACTTTTTGGGATTCAATGTATAGTTCTTTTTTGATGTTTTGAATGAAATGCTGAAAGTCAGCAATTGTGTCAAAAACTGTAGTGCTTGTAATGCTAATGGTTCTGCAGTTGGAATCAAAAAACAGTTGCAAATACTCGCCTGAGCCACTGGAGTATCTGGAGCTTGAAAATCTCGGAGCAGAACATACCTTTAACTATTATTGATTCTGATTGCGATATCGAGGATCTTGCTGAAGTTGATAAATATGGATATATTTCACTTATCTCAGACTTGGACTGCTGAATATTTTCACCAATCCAAACTCCACCTTCTGGGCTTTACCTAATCAGATTACACGTGACTGAACTTGTTTCTAGTTTGAAATTCCCAAAAAACACACGCAGTCTGAGAAAACCGTGTTTGTGACACGTCACACAAAACCATATATTGCTCTTGAGCCCTACTACAATGCACATGATAATTCATTACAGCCCTCTTTTAGGTTCCACTTCAGTGGTGCGGATTCAAACTTTATTTGTGGTTGACACAATTAAAAACAAAAGGATCGCTTTTCTGTTGTTATTTCACTCTCCATCAGATAATGAGCCTAAGATGCCTTCAGACGAGTCTTCTGATATAGGTCTTTACTATGTAGACTTTAACAGTATGTTTAGGTGTGGTTTTCTCATTGACCTGTTCTTCTTCAGTGGTGACTAATACATCTCATCTGCTTGCAGGAAATTTCCAAAAGTGCAATGCTTGTCCTCTTGATAATTTGATTGAATCTTTTGGTTTATCTGACATCGCTGCTTCAGTGGCTCGAACAAAGCCTAATGGTGAGAAGGCTGTTAAGTTGAGAAAATCCTACAAATCTCATATCAACGATTTGCCTTACAAGCACACAATCAAGAGCGATAATATACTTGAGTCAATTGCTTTGAGAGAAGATATAACGCTTGGTTTGAATGATCTCTCCAATTTTATTAAACCAATCGATAGGGACTTGGTTTCAAGAGCTTTAAATTTTAAGAAAACTCCAAAGGATTCTCTCAATGATATTGAAATTGAAGATTTACAATTTAAAACTATTGTTGATTTTGACAAGAAAAGTTTAAAAAGAAAACAGAAAAATGGCTATACCAACGATGACGATTTGAAACGTCGTCGTATGTGATTCAATAATAATTTTGATTGTTTTGAATTAATCTAAATTAATCTCTTTTGATTCTGTTTTCCGATCTACTCAGTTTTGTTTCAATATATCATTTTCCTAAAATGCATACCTGCTTTTCCTTATTTTCCTTATTTTCCTCATTTATACTCTATACTATATTTCAAAACAAAAAGATACAGCGATTTTATTTACAAATTCTATAAATTTTTATATAATATATTAATAATACAATTTAATTCAAGTAAAATCAAAAATGAAAATAAAAATAGCAAAAATAAACAAATTAACTAATATTAAAATGAACAGAAAGTCAAAAAAACTAATAAAAGAACAAAATTAACAGAAGAAACAAAGAAAATAAACTTAGAGTTAAAATTAAAATTAAAGCTAAAATTAAAATTAAAATTAAAATTAAAATTGAACCCGAAACTGAAATCAAATTTAATTTGAAAAATAAATTAAATTTGATAATAAACGTAAAAAGATAGCATAAATAACATTATGTAGCATCAACTTAAAAACCCAATGCAACTTTATAATTCCTTATCTTCTTCATCTTTGCTACTGCTACTTCTTAATAGAACTTTAGGAACAGATTTTTTTCTTAAGTCAGATATCGATGTAAAAGATTCATAATGTGTCAATTGTCTCAATGGCAACATAATCTTCTTATTTTTATTTCTATGATGCTTTAATTTATTTCCAATCAATTGCCCCGTATGTGCCAATAGTGATTTTATAACAATTTTCTTCAAATTCATTGCAAGATCCAACAACGTCCAGACCCTATTGGAAAAATGAATTAGTGGTAATTTCAAAACAAAATCATTCACATTAATTAGCTTAGTTTTACCGGCACCTTTATAACTAACGCACAATATACAGTGATTGACTTGGAATGAAACGATGCTTAGATATTTTGATGCTCGGCCAATCATCTCATCAACTTCATCTTGTTCTTCAATATTTGGCAAACTTGTTAATGTTGTTGAATTGTTTTGAATACCATTTATTCTGTGACTTCTTAATGTAAACTTTCGATTAACAGGAGTTCCTCCTTCTTCTTTTAGACTGATTTTGGTATCTTGTCTCAGACTTAATGAGCTTGACTTGCTTCCATTTCTAATTGAAAATCCATCATTAGATCCATTAGATCCATTGTCTTCATCATCATCATCCCCATCATCATCACTTTCTTCATCGTACCCATCATCTAATACAATTCTACTGTTCATTGAATTACTAGAAAATGATGTATCACTGTAATCCTCATCATCATCATCATCGTCCCCCTCCTCCTTCCCATCATCTTCGTCGTCTTCATATTCAATAATTCGTTGTTTGGACCTTAACTCACTATTTTTCTTTCTGCTTTGAAAATTTGTAAGTGTACTGGAACCACTAACTAACGTAGAATCTTGATTTCCACCACCATTTTCGACTATTGATACCTGATTATAATCATTTGGAAACAAATAATGAAATATTTTTTCTCCAGTTTTTTGTTCTAATTGAATCTTAACTGGTTGCAATTTCACATTAAAATTTCTAATAACTTTGATTCCCCCAACTGGTTTGTCCATTTTCCACTCAATTCTAACTAAATTATCACTTTTTGACAGACTTTTGGGCTCTGAACCTTTTGGAGTAAATGGTGAAAAAAATTCTTGATACAATACATCTTTCTCCAAATTAAAACATTGAATTATTCCAATATCAATTGCATTACGATTTGAACCATCGGGACTCTCTAATCGATTAAACTTAGAATTAGCTAAAGCAACATCTAGAAATGGTTTTCTATCATCCTCTAACATATGCAAGATTATTTGGTCGGCTCTAATTGCCCATTCCAAAGTATCGTGCGACTCCTGGTATTTTTTTCCTCCCAAATTAACAACTTTCATTAAAAGATATAATTGAACTAAAGTTTCATATTTTTGATTTCCAATCGCTGAGTAGTCGCTTAATTCATTTTCCAGTAATAACGGCTTTCTAAACGAATAACACAATTCTAATTTGCGCAACAACTTGGCCGTCTCTTGAAGGAACTTAAGCTGATCCAAATAACTCGAAAGATTTGAAAGGTCTGACTTGATTATCATTTTTTCTAATTTTTCATTCAACGTTTTGCTTGTGGGCTCACTGTAAATTAATAAATTAATGATTATAGAATAGAAAGCTGAATATTGTGAAGAATCACACGAAACAACAACTTTTGGACATTCCACAATAACTTTGTTTCTTCTGATAGACCCATAATTTTCATCCATAAGCACCATTGGATTCACACGATCATATCTAACTGTTATTGATGTCTTTTCCAATAATAAATTATTCGATAGCAAATTATTGTTATGACAAGATTCAGGACCCAACCATGGAGGCCAGTTGGAAAGAGATCCGTAGTTTTTGATTCCAGTAAAGAGTTTATTTGCATTTGTTGCAACCTCTCCTTTAGAAAAAACAAAAACATTGGCTTGGTTAAGAATTGCCCCAAACCTTTTTTCAACGGAAATAACATCTGTTTCCTCTTTTTCCAATAATTCTATCTGTTTGTACTTCTTCTCAATAATAGAAACAATATTCAACTGAATGCTTGGAGCTATAACAAGAACACATGAATCAACATTTTCATCCTTGATTAATTGAATTTGAGGTAATATTAATTTAAAACAATAATCATTTTCATGAGAGAGATTAACATCGTTTTCATTTACAGCTGCTAAATCTTCTTCAAAAAACTTAAGTCTGTCAACACAAGACTTTTTATCATATGAGAACTGCAAAGGTTGATTGTGATCTTTGCTTTCCTCTTCAATTCTAGATAAAGTGGATTTCAATGCGGCTTCATCAGATCGATCATTTTGCTCAACTATTATATCTCGGAAATAAGAAACAGCCTTATTTCCTAAATACTCGTCCATAGTGCTTTCTAAGTTAACCAAATGAATGTATTTGTAAAAAAAATTTCTGTTGTGGACATTCCATTTTAATAACATATTGTGAACAATAAATTGATTATTAAAGCGGGACTTTTCATTTTCCGAAAAATCAACATCTTGTAAGTATGTTGCATCGCAGGAAGTAGGATTTTCCTTGAATACCATAAGATCTTCATGTATTTTGCACAAATCCAGAAATCTCTTTTCTAAATTTTCTATTATCTTTTGTAAAGAAACGCTATAATGTTTATCGTCAAATGTTTTTGTTTCAAGAGTGGCTTTATGAAGTTGAATTTCCTTTTTAATTTGATCCATGCGTTCTTGTGTGAGTTTGAATTGTGTGTCTATCCAGTAGTTCTTTCCCAATATACAATCGTGCGCAACACAATTGTTATTGTTAGAAAGCACATAAGATTCATCAAAATTGGTCTGTCTATAATATGATAAATGAGGTGTGAACATGAGAGGAAATATCCGGGCTGTCGCCTTATAAGTTTCTAATGAATTAGTCCCAACTTCCTCAAAATCGTTTCTATCGTACCACGAAAGATCATTGTCAAAAGTTCTGACCTTAGCTGAATGATTGCCTGAATAAGTACCATTGGGCACTTGATTTTTCAATATTCCTTCAATAATTCTAATGTCAAAGTTCGATATGATCATCTCTCCAACCTCAAATTTCATCTGAGTTACTCGTTTTGTCAAGTTTAATTTCTCGTAATGTTTGACAAACAACTCCTTTTTCTGATGAAGATCAAGAGCAAAAGAATCAAGTTTACCTTTCATGCCATACGAATACACCTCATTCAATGATAGCTCTTTTTCATTGTCTCTTTGAAAATGTGACATAAATAATGGAGAAATCAAAAATTGATACTTGATACTGTCCAAATATTGAGCAAACTTTTTAGTAGAGGTTTCGGGTCCAAAGATCTTACCATGACGTATAGGTAGTGACATGTTTCCAGAAAATAACTTCCACCAAGCAAAGAAATGTTCTATAGACCGCTGAGTCAAATGAACAGTATTATAAGGTCCTTTTTGAGTTTTTAATCTAGAATTTGAGGTTGAAGGCGATACCAATGAAAAGGCCATATGAACAAAATGACTTCTGAACTTTTCATAGGCATCATATTTACTTAAGTCTTCAACATAATCTGGATTTGTCAATTTAATCAAATAATGTGGAGTAAATTCAGATGACCTTTGCGTTTTTGTTATCATCCTCTCAAAATTGATCCCCATCTTAAACTGAACATTTCCAGAAAGCTGAATAGTTACCTTTTCAAAATAATGTTTAGACATTTCCGCTATTACACCACGATTGACAAAAGGCAACTCTGTTTTATAATCATCCTCCAAATAGTAATTAGCAATAGATGATACAAATAAAGAAGAAGTAGGTAAGAAAACAGACTCTGAAGAATGTCTAGACCACACCAACAAAGGCTCCGCTAGATGATTAGGAATAACCCACATAACTTGGTCTGCATCCACTACAAGAAAATCTTTTGGATCATCATTTCGATTAAGATCCAATATCACATTCCCCTTGAAGCATAGAATAAAACCAGCAGCCGAACCAGTTAGTTCGTATGGAGACCTTGACCCTTTAAATAATATGTGCAAGTCCCCATGATCGTTCCAGTTGAAACGAATTCTAGCATGAACGTTTGCTCTAAGTTTATCCCAAAATCCAATTTTATCTGAAGGATCCAATGGAGGCTTGGTGAAGGCATCAAAAATAAGCATAATTTGCTGAATACATGCTGTCTGCGATGAACCCCAAGTAAACTTTGTAGGCTTGCTTGTGTTTATATCAACAACTAAATTTGGAAACATTTTGATTGATGCAACAGTTCTGGGAATCAATAAAGAATATAAACAAAGATTTTCTCTTTGATCGCAACAATAAACAAGTGGCACAAAAACATTTCTAATATTGGAAGGAGAGTCAAAAAAATCTTCAGCAATAATACAATTTCCATGAATATGAACAGAAGGAATACTAGAAAACTGATTATCAGAAATAGAAGGAATATATAATAGTGGCAATGGGTAATCCCTTAAATGAACTCTTAACTCGGATAATTTTAAATCAATGTTGAAGGGCAATAAAAGCGTATACTCAGTATCATAGGGGACCCCTTTTCCAATATCATGAATATACTTGGGTATGGAATCAATGGGAAAATCGACACGATCTATCTTTAAGTCTAAATTTTCTAGTATTATACTCATAAGAGGGGGATAAAGAGAATTTTCTAACAATCTTCTATTCAAATGTTTATGAGATCCCATATTATTTGAAAGTAAACCATAGAGAAAATCAGCATTATTGGAAATTTCTTGAGCCATTTTTTGTTTATACACCTCAACTCTTTTTAGCCAAGATTTGGATAAATTTCTTTGCAAAACGTCCAATTTCTGAGACACACTTTCTCTTTCCATAAAATTCGAAGAAATATTATCCTGATCATCAATTTTATAATAATCCTTTATACTGAATATACTATTTTTATTTCTCAAAACCACAGAAAAACACGATGATTCTTCTAAGCTAACGTCTTCGTCATGAAATGAATGTTTTGCTGCTTCTATAAAAAAGTTAAGCTTGGAAAGTCGCTCTTTCTGTTCAGCTATACCAATTTGGAAAATCATACTTAACTCACTCTCAAATGGATCATCATCCATTGAAAAGATCCCTCTTCTGGATTTTAAATGAATCTTGGGAAAAATAACAGGGGGTACAGCATGTGGTTTGATAACAATCCCCGGTGAATTGTTTTTTAAAGAGTAATTCAATTGCTTTGCAACCTTTAAAAACGTTCCCAAATTATCAAATAATTTATGAATGACAAATTGGTGAGGAATAGAAAATCTAATTGAGTGAGAACAAATTTCAAGCACTGTATCAAGATCTATCTGTTTTTCATTTTTGCATCGTATGTATTCTAGTAAATTGTCAAAATTCAATAAAAGTTGACAATAGTTGACATTAACAAGTGTCGCCCAAAATCCAGAAACAGTTGGAGATTTCACACAAAGCCTGAGAACCTCGGAATTTGAAAAAATACTAGGCATATCGGGTGTTAATTTGATATGAGAATGAAAGTTTTCATAACGCATTTTAAAATTGTTAGGTAGTTGCAAGACAATATCAATCGAGCCAAAATCACCACTTAAAACCAAGAAATCAAGTATCGAGCTATTGAAGCCATTATTTTTATTCAGTATCTGGTTTTCAACGATTGGTATAGGTGATTTTGAAACTTTTTTATAAAACGAGAAAACAGTGTTTCTAATCAAACTCACGGAAGACACAATTAAAAAGTAAATAATGTGAGAAAAAAGCAAATCGAATCTATCAACTGAAACGTTTACTTTAAGTAAATCCTTTAAGTAATCTTTTTTATGAAATGCAATAGAAGTTAGCTCAACCATTGGCATTTTAAAAAAGTTCTTTGATTGTAAGTAAAAAATCTTTTCATTGCTGGGTTCCATGATAGTTTTTCCAATGAGGTTTTTGATTTTAAAATCCACTAGCCAGTAAGGGTCATCATCTTCAGAAATGGACTCTCCTGAGGTGCTGCTAGTCCCATTAAAGCTGATATCTCCATAAAATGACTGATTGCTTTTTGTATCTTCTTTTGCCGAATCACGATCCTGAGTTTTAGCAAATATTTTAGAAAGAATCTTATCGTCATCCCCGAGACAGGAGTTGTTTCGCGTTAATAAACATGAAGCATTATCAAATTTATAGCAAATTTTTCTTAGACTGTCTTCTATCATATCATTTGGAATTGAGTATGACAACGGTAATTGTTTTAATAAATCGGCTTCCATAAATATAGACCTAGCTCCTAAAACTAAACTAAAATCTGAAAACGATACGCTAAAGATAGTAAACCAATCAGGTAAATGTTGAAATAAAATTTGTTCAATTGTGGATTTCTTTTCAGGTTTCAATGTCTTATTTAACTTTTTGTTGATTTTGATGGACTCCAATAAATAATTATCATCCATAGGTAAAAAAACATTTTCAAAAATCTTTGAAATCCCAGTTAAAATCACCAAATCAGATAAATCAATATTTAGTGACTGAATGCATACACTTGAAGAAAACTGGAAATCTGGTAGATTTTCTAATTTGATTTTAAAAATTAAAAAATCTGAACTTAATATATCTTCAGCTTTGTTGAAATAATCAGCTTTCAAAAGTGTTGATGTTGAACTAATAGTGGAATGGATTGAGATATTATCATCACTATCATTCATATCAGCAGAAAAAACATCATCCACATGATAAACAGGTTTAGTTTTTTTGTGTGCAGGATGGAAAAAATGAAATAATGAAGGATTATCTAATTCTGATTGTTTATATGAAAGATGTATTCCAGAAACCTCTATTCTATGAAACAATGAACAACTTAAATTATGAAAACTATTAAATGCTTTTGAAAACATCTTTGAATGTGCCTTCTTTGATTCTAACTCATAACTGATTAAGTTGAAACTTAATATTAAAATCCTAAGCAATTTATCATCATTAAACGAGAAATTTTTTAAAATTATTGAAGGATCTTCAATAGTTAATTTTAAATAAATTAATGGATAAATAGAAGCTAAAGTTTTAAAAAATTTACTGTAAAGACTTTTAAAATTCTTTTTTGCAACTTTTCCTTTTGCATTTGAGTTGATTAATTCAATATTCAAAGAAGAATCAATTGAGTTAATAAATGTGTTTATTTTTTCAAATCTTATATGCGATTTATGACGTAAGAATTTATTTATAATTCCACAAAAGAACATATTTAACTGGTTATAATTTAGCAATAAAAGACCTAAATGTTCAGCATTTAAATCAATAACAGGAGAAGAAAAATGACTTAGTGTCTTAATTAGTGCTCTCGAGATATCTAGCTCTTGCTCTACTACTTTCAAAGTTTGAAATAAAGCATTTGATTTTGCCGAGAATGTGATATTAGGAATTTGCAATAATTCAACAATAGTCTGGCTAAAATATGAATTTAAGTCAGAGTCTGGAGACAGATTATAGTCAAATAGATTGAGTTTCAATGGATTGTTCAAACCATTTTTAATGTGCATTAGGATAGTGACATCAAGTATTGAACCAATCAATTGATGAGGTTTGTCGTCAACTTTAAAAATCAAGCCATAACCAGGGGAATGATAGTTTAATCGATTAAAGTTGATATTAAATTCTTTGACCTTAAATTGAAAAGCAAATTTACTAAGTAAATTTGAATAATTGAAACCATTGTTAAAATTTTCATTTGCATTTTTATTTTTATTTTTATTTTTATTTTTATTTTTATTTTTATTTTTATTTTCATTTTCATTTGCAGTATTAAAATTAAATTTAGGAAGATCAAAGCCAATATCCGCTTTATTTTTTACATAATCATTTTGGATATCATTATTTTGAGTACAGTCATTTTGATTATTATGATCATGATCATAATGACCATGGTAAAATTTCAAAATTTGGTCCAAACTTTCAAAATTGTTGATTAAATTTAAATAATTTTTAAAAAGACCGTGAAAATTGGAATTATTAATTGAAAAGGTGTTATTTTGAGAATTTAATGATATGTCGTTGGATTTAATAAAATCGTTAAATTTATTGTTCAAAGAGTTACTATTATTTTTTTTTACTAGAGATTTTAAAAAAAACAAAAATAAATTTAATTGGGATATGTCAATATTTTGCAAAGATATAGAAAGCTCATTTAGAATCGATAGTAATAAGTTTCTCCGATACAATTTTAATTTGTTTTTATTTAGCAGATAAGCCAGCTGAAAGTCTGGTATTTTTCTGGATTGAACATTATCAGTATCATTATCGTTATTGATATCAATGTTGTTGTTTATTTTATTGTGGTTATGAGAAGTGTTGGCATCATCATTGTTAATATTATCACTAATATTATCGCTAATATCATCTTTGCTTTTATTATCGATATTATCAATAATATCGTTATTATTTATATTGTTTAATAGAGAGGATTTATTATTGGAAATGTAATCTTTTAATGAATCGAATAATAAAGGCAAAAGATTTTCATCATTGATTGATAAAAAGTTTGATGTAGTGTCTAGGAAATCTAGTAGTTTTAAATTGAATCCGTTCAAGACAAAATTTGAATTGACATTGGTTATTGAATTTTTTTCAACATTTAATATAGAGTTGAATTCCAGATTTAGTTTGTTAATAATACTTTTGTTTTTATTGATGGGATTTTTATTGTTATTGGAGATACGATTATCAATAATATTGAAATTGTTTATGCATAAAGATAAATTGAACAATAGATAATGAGTTTTGAATATTTGTTGTTCTTTTTTAAAAGATTTTAAGTTTGAGAATAGTTCCATAGTTGGTTGTCTTTTCAATTGTTTAATATCGTCGATTTTCAAATAATCGCTATCGTTAGTCAAGATTTGATGTATTTCCTTATCATCAACGTAATTCAAGTTTAAGGAGAACTGTATTTGATTTAGTACTAAAGAAATTGAGGTTATTTTAGATTTAGATTTAGATTTAATATTTTTGTTATTTTTGCTATTAGTATTATTGAATAAATTGACCTTTACATTTTTAATTATAAATTGAAAATTGGGAAAACTGAAATTTTTTGAAAGATTTCTTATAAAAGGACGATTGTAGTATTTTTTTAAAAAACCCATGAATTGTATTGAAAAATCATCTTTTTCATCAAAAATATCATTAATGGAATTGTCAATATCAACTTCAGCTTTATTTTTATGTTCCTTATTGTCATTATTATCATTATTATCATTATTATCATTATTATCATTATTATCATTATTATCATTATTATTATCATTGGAAGAGGATAAATTTTTTTGAAACAAGTTTTTTAGTATTATATCGTAAAGATCGAAGGAAACATTCAAATCGATATCAGATATTACTATGTTCAAAAATTTGAAAGATTTCAAAGAAAAGTTAAGCCTGAGCACAATTGTATTAAAAACAACATAGTCGTCATTTTGGTTTTGGTTTTCAAATATAGTGTGATCCCGAACAAAACAGTTTGATAAATTTTTCAAATTAAACTCATCGCGCAACTTGCTAATATTAGATAAATTGATGGATAGGTGTTTTATGACTATGTTCGTTGGAAGAGTGTAAACAATTAAAAACCCATAAAAGTAGAATGTGAGACAGTTGATGACAATAGTCGAAAACACGTATATTATTAGGAAGTTGATGAACAGGTCAAAGAGAGTCTTGAGAAACATTTAGCTGGGGTTGTGGAGTGATCGGCGACAGTGGGATGAATGCTTCAAATGGAAGGTGCAAGACATAGAACAGCTCTTAGCAGTGTGCCAACTGAAATGAATATTCGAGATACGTGTAAACAACGCAAAAATAGCTATTCAGCAAACACCAGCAGTCTTCAAACAGTTTAGAGCTGAATGAAGGTATCGGATTGCATTATATCGTTGTCTCAAAGAGGTCTTTTCACAGCCGTTGGGCGGAAGACCTCGTTCCGTGGCGCTGGCTCTAAAGAATGCACCTATGCATGATCCGCAACCCTGGTGCATCACGGGATTCTTCGTTCCGTATCGTTCCGCCGATCTCCTATTCCTGATTTGGGTGCGATATAATACTCGGCTTTGGAGCTGTCTCTTGAGGGAGCATACTTTCTATTGCTTGCTGCTTCTGGCTGACTTGTCCATTGGTTACAATGAGCTTCTTCTTTGGTGCTGGTGCCTCTGCAAATAAGAAACCTACTGACTTGGTAGACAAAAATGACAGATCAGATCTCAACAACTCGCCAGCTTTTCTAAAATTCACCAATCTTGAGTTCACACAGTTGATCTTGGAGGATCCCCCTTTTATTTTGAGCATGGGTGGTTCGAATGGCAGCATTTACCTTGAGAAAGAAGACCAGAAGTGGGAATTGCTCACTGCAAAGATCAATCAGACCTACAATCTCTCCTACAACAATGGTGTTCTACAAAACCATTTGATTTATCTATTGAATTTTTTCAAAAGTCAAATTGACTTCTTTTTTGAAGATTTTTATAGGTCTTTGCATAGCTACCAACACAGTGTGGCTAATAAAAGTAATGGCGCTAATCAACATACCGATACTACCAATACCAATATTACTGTTGCTAATAACAATAACAATAATAATAATAAAAACAACAATAATAATAACAACAATAATAGTGTTAATGACATTAATAGCTTAATGAATTACGACAATTTATTTATGGATGATGTACAGTTCACAAAACTAATTCAAAGCTATTTTTTAAGAAACAATTTATCTCATCCTTTATTTAAAGGATTGAATTATGAGACAAGGGATTTATTGTCCAATTTAATTGCGATTCATCTAATGAAAAGAATCACGAAATACCAATCTTACTTCAGATTATTAAACCAAAATTTGTTCAATTATCCTCCAAGTAAATCTTCTAAAAAAAAGTAATTTGATTTGTAAATTATTTTACTTATAAATGGATTTTTGCATTTTTTTTATTTTTATTCTATGATGTTACTAATCATCTCATTTAACTGATTATTACATTTTTTTTAATTTTTTTTCCAATGGTTGGGTTTGTATAGTATTATTAATTTATTAGGACTTTATATAATTTTTGTTTTTTTGTTGTTTTTTTTGCTTTTTGTCTTTTCTTCTTTTTATCCTTTCTTCTTCTTTTTGTTTTTTTTCTAGGTTTATTCTCATTTTAATATATATTATATCATATAACTAAATAAGGATTACAATGGTATTTTTCAATTGGCAATTATCAATTACCAATTAAAAGTAAAACTTAAATTATACTAAGTTATATTAAATGACATATATCTATACTCATAACTTTTTATATTCTAATTTGCCTTCAAGCTTCTTTGTTTCTGAGACTTTTCTAACTGCTTTCATAATATCGTCTTGAATGATATAATCTCTATCACTTCTAATGGCAAAAAATCCTGCTTCGGTTATAACGTTTCTAATATCTGCACCATTGAAGCCATCGCTCATTTTAACTGCTGCTTCAAAATCAAATTCTCCCTTTTTGGCCACATTTTGTGTATGGATTTTGAAAATATCCAATCTTGCAACCTCATTTGGCAAAGGGATCTCAATTTTACGATCCAATCTACCAGCTCTTAGCAATGCAGGATCTAGAGTATCGGGTCTATTAGTTGCCATGATAACTTTAGTTTGCCCCAAATAATCAAAACCATCCATTTGATTTAATAATTCCATTAGAGTTCTTTGAATTTCTCGATCTGCTGATGTACCCTCAGAAAATCTTCTGCCACCAATTGCATCAATTTCATCCATAAAGATAATACATGGTTCATGTTCTTTGGCGTAACCAAACAATTCCCGGACTAGTCTTGAGGATTCACCGATATATTTATCAACTATGCCTGAAGCAGGAGAAAAGATAAAATTGGCTGCAATGGTAGCTGCAACAGCTTTAGCTAATAGCGTTTTCCCGGTGCCAGGTGGTCCGTACAACAAGACACCCTTTGGTGGTTTAATTCCGACTCTTTGAAACAATTCTGGGTTTTTCAATGGCAATTCAATCACCTCTCTTAATTCCCGTATTTGGTCAGTTAAACCACCAATTCCCTCAAATGATACTTCTCCTGAATCAAAAGTGGTCATATTATAGACGGTAGGGTCGACTTCTCTGGGTAAGATTCTCATAATCGTTAACGTTGTCATATCCAATGCGACTCTGACACCCTGTTTTAATTTTGATTTGTTTATAGTATTTCTACATCCGACAATATATCTTGGACCGGATGATGCCTTTACTATGAATTTTTCCTCAGTTAGTTGTTTCAAAACAGTTCCAATTAATTGACCGACACTTTGCAAGGCTTTGATGTCTTCTTCAGTTTTTGTGAAGTCCTTCTCTAAATCTCTTATTTGCAATCTTAAATTCTTCAAACGCGCGTCCCAATCTCTATGTTCAATTAGCTTGCTCTTGAATTGGTTCAACGCTTTTTCCTTTCTAAGGTCTCTCGTAGATCTAGGCTGTTGTGGTGGCTGTGGTGGTTGCTGTGCACTCGAAGACGAAGCTTGGTTCTGGTTTATCGAGCTATCCACATCGTTATTCAAGGCAGATAAAAGTGGGTCGTTTTCTTCACTCATTTTTCTTCAATTTGAAATCAGTCTTTAAAACTCAAACTAGAAATAACTGCACTTCAATTCTCTAAAGGAGGCTCGCAAAAGATGTATGTGTGTGATGTAGAATCAAAACCAGCACGTCGCAATTGGTGTTAGCTAGAGGCAGTTGGAGATATTTCCACTGTGTTTCCAGATGAGAAGTATCAAGTGGCAAGAGAAAAAGGTTTGAAGATCTGAGCGGACGGGTAAAGCGTACATTCTACACCCACTGCACCCACGCGAGCGTGGAATTTCACACAAATGAAGACAGTTCTGGGTTTGGAGAACCAGTGCAGTTGCTTCTCGTCAATTATCGCAGCGATGGCCAGCACCTTTTCCAGACAGGGCATGGCGTCCAACATCAATGGAGCAGACAAAGGAGAGCTTCTTGAAGAGCAGAAGCAGGAGATCCGTGAGGCGTTTCACTTGTTTGACTTGAATAACGATGGCCACTTGGGGTTTCACGAGTTGAAAATTGCCATGAAGGCCCTAGGCTTTGAGCCTACAAAAAAAGAGGTGCTAGACATGATAGCAGAGTATGATGTCAACGACAAAAATCTAATCAACTACGACAATTTTTTCCAAGAGATGGGTCAAAGAATACTCGAAAGAGACAAGGACTCAGAGATCGAAAGAGCTTTCAAGTTGTTTGACGAGGACTCCACTGGAAAAATATCGTTAAAAAACCTCAGAAGAGTTGCAAAAGAACTAGGAGACGAATTGGGAGACGATGAGCTAAGAGCAATGATCGATGAGTTTGATTTGGACGACGATGGCGAAATCAATTTTGATGAATTCAAAAGAATATGTCAAGACGACTGAGCTGACGCCTGATGGGGCTGTACTATATAAAAATTCTTTTGCGCTTCTTTCTCGATATACATTCTATACAACTGTGCCATTTTTAATTCTGTTTTTGGTTTCCACCTCTTTTCCTTCTCTGTTTCTTCTTTTTTTGGCACCATAAACACCGGCTCGGAATAGAAATCTCCGGCCGCTTCTCACCTGACTAGTACCGGCTCCTTCCTAATGGGGCCTTCTTCAATTTGGCCAGTTCTGAAATAAAATTGTTTTCAAAACCAACTCACCATCATTAACAGCTTTGAATATCTTTGAGCTGGATGGTTGCAATTTGGAAGATGGTATTGGTTTAAGTTCGAATATAGTATTGTATCTGCTTTGAAAAATGTCCTACAATATAGCGTACGTATTGTCTGTTCTAGCAATTTATTACTATTTTTGTCCTATCGCTTTCTAGGTAGATTTGATCCAAGCTAATACTCTATCTCAACCGCAGAATGGTGTCTGATTTCTTTTACCCACAAATGGGTGGTGTGGAACTTCATATTTACCATCTTTCGCAGCAACTTATACAGTTGGGCTACTCAGTCGTTATCATCACTCACGATTACAAGTCGAGAATTGGTATACGATATCTAACCAATGGACTAAAAGTATATTATGTTCCATTTTTCATTTTGTTTCGAGAATCGACTTTTCCAACTGTTTTCAGTGCTTTTCCAATCTTGCGAAACATATTCATAAGAGAAAACATCAACTTGGTTCATGGCCATGGTTCATTAAGCTCCTTGTGTCATGAAGCCATTTTTCACGCAAGAACAATGGGGATTAAAGCTGTTTTCACCGACCATTCATTGTTTGGTTTTGCTGATATTGGTTCAATTTTAGCTAATAAAGCCTTGAAATTCACTTTAAAGGATATCAACAGAGTGATTTGTGTGTCTCATACTTGTAAGGAAAATACTGTACTAAGAGCCTCAATCAATCCTAATATAGTTTATGTTATTCCCAACGCTGTAATATCACAAGATTTTAGACCTGATTTATCGAAAATGAACCGAAAATTAAAGCAAAATATTAAAAAAATGACAAATACTATTAATAATAATAGTAATAATAATAATAATAATAATAATAATAATAATAATAATAATAATAATAATAATAATAATAATAATAATAATAATAATAATAATAATAATAATNTAATAATAATAATAATAATAATAATAATAATAATAATAATAATAATAATAATAATAATAATAATAATAATAATAATAATAATAATAATAATAATGACAATGACAATGACAATGACAATGACAATGACAATGACAATGACAATGACAATGACAATGACAATGACAATGACAATGACAATGACAACAATGAAATTGAAATTGAATATATAACTATTGTTGTTATATCAAGATTATTTCAAAATAAAGGCGCTGATTTATTAGTTAAAATTATCCCAATTATATGCTCAAAAAATTCAAAAGTTCGGTTTTTAATAGCAGGCGATGGCCCAAAATTTATTGATTTAGTTCAAATGATTGAAATGAATAGACTACAGGAAAGAGTGGAGTTAATTGGCGAGATTCGTCATGAACAAGTTAGAGATGTTATGTGTAAAGGAGATATTTATCTTCACGCTTCCTTAACTGAAGCATTTGGTACTGTATTAGTTGAGGCTGCATCATGCAATTTGCTAGTAGTGACAACAAGAGTTGGCGGTATTCCGGAAGTTTTACCCAATTATATGACAGTTTTTGCTAATCCCTCGGTAAATTCATTAGTTGAAAACTGTTTAATTGCTATTGAAATGATTGATTTAAAAAAAATTGATACATCGGTATTTCATGATGAAATCAAGAAAATGTATGATTGGATAGATGTCGCAAGAAGAACTGAGTTGGTTTATAATTCAATTCGAGAGGATGAAGTCAAAAAACCTTTATATATAAAATTTCAAATCTTTTATAACTCAGGTTTATGGGCAGGTAAATTATATCTTTTATGTGTTGTTGTTGACATTTTTATTTTATTTTTCTTAAATGTTTTTTATCCAGTGCAAAATATTGATAGAGTTCGAAAATGGCCCAAAAAAAAAGGTGAAAAGCCCAAATTAGCTTGAAACAGCAAAAAAGAAAAAAAAGAAAGTGTGTGTAAAAAAATATTTAATAGTCTATACATTAAAATATCATCATTTATCATCACCTGAATCGGAATAAATCTCAGGATCAGATTCTTCATCATTTTTCTTTGAAAAGTTATTTTCAATATTAGCGGAAAGATATTTGCCGTTAGATTCTAATATAACATTATGCCCGACAATGGAATTTTCCAAAATAACATTATCACCAATTATGACATTATTAAATACTAAAGAACCATTTAATCTACATTTTTTGCCAATTTGACAATTATCACCGATAATAGTTTTCTTTATAGTAGACATTTTATCAACGGTTGTATTTTGGCCCAATAGAGAATCAACTCCAATGGTGGGGGCACCCTTTTCTTTTTGTTTTTGAGCTTGGGATTGCAACTGGTTACGAATGGAAGGATTTTTTAATAGATTTTCCTTCATAAGCCACCTATTTGATTCTAGATATAACTGTAGAGTATTTGATCTTATGAACGTTGATTGTTTTGGAAGTATAAACAAGTTTATCTTTTCTAGGGGCTTTTTATGCTTCCAAGACCTTTTAGCTAAATCCTGGAAAATCGTTGTTATTGATTTTTCATTAATTTTGTATTTCTTGACTGTGATTGAATGTTTCAAAATGTTGACTAGTTCCAATGAGTTGAAGAAAATAAAACTGTTTAATAAGTTTTTTGATACTTCAATATTGGGAAATCTCCATAACATTTGAGTTCTTATTTGCAAAAATTTTGAGATTTCAATTGATTCATTTGTAATCAAATCAACCAAATGAGAATCATTCTGGTAATAATCGTAATCATTTACAGCATTGCTGTTGTTGTGATTATTTTGGGACTCGTAAAGGGTATAGTAATTTTTAAAGTTATTTGAATGAGTTGGAATATTGGATAGACTATTGTTATAAAAACAACACATGGATACATCCTGAACATCTCTGATTCTGAACTGTTCAATTAAAACCTGAGCAGGCAAGTCAGTTATGAAATCGCAAGGCAATATAGCAAAATCTGAATTGATTTTGTTCAAATTGATCAAGCTGGCCAAGATCTCGCCAGTCGTCTTTGCATTTATGGAAACAATATTGATTTTGTTAACAAAACTTAAGATCTGCTTGTTACGGATATTCGACTCGTAGTTATTCAAGAATTCCTGAAGCAGATCCTTCGAGGAGGCATCAACGACCAAAGATATATCTTTGAATGGAGAATTATCACACCATTCGAGAACATGCTGGACCATTGGTTTATTGAAAATGGGAAGCAAGGCCTTGGGCATACCAGAGGGATGAGCAGTGGAAAAGGGAGAGAGCTTGGCCCCTCTGCCACAAAGAACAATAGCGTGGAACTCCATTTTATATGACTGGAAGGTGTAACAACACAATAATTACTGGCAATAGCTTTGTGAAGTATCTGGTTCTCGTCGCGATATCTGATTATATCTAGTGAAAAGTTTCTGGTGAAAAGTTTCAGTTAGTCACACGTGGGCGGGTAACTTCTCAAAAAGCGAAATAAAAGTGGAGGATTTGGTGAGAATGCAGAGAAGAGCCAACGATTACTAAGGAAGTGCTATCGAAAACCAGTTGTGACCATGAGTAGTTGGAGTCGTACCACCAGCAGATTCATCAAGGACTCTACCAATTTAAAGGACAGTTACATTCGGTCACAGGAGAACTTTCTCAAAAAGTACCAGCTCGAGCACCAGAGATCTGTGCTTCCCAAAGTCCCCGAAAAGCTCAGGTTTAACGACGACTTTGCAAAGAGAAAGTATGTTCCAGGCGATAGAGTGGTTATAGTCAAGGGTCCTCTCAAGGGAACTGTCACCAAAATCGATTCTTTTGACGCAAACACCAATGGATACACTCTTGTGCATGGTCCCCACAAAAAGATTGCAGTTCCCAAGTGTTTGTGGGTGGCAGGGCAAAAGAGTCATGTAACCCAATTCCCAGAGCCTGTTACGCAGGATTATATCAAGTTGATTGCTATTCGTAAAGATCCTACCACAGGGCTGAAGACCGATGTCATTATCGATGATGTGGAATTCCGTGGCGAGTATTTTGATTCGGTATACCAACGATTTTTGCCCAAGAGATATGTCAAATATAATCCACAGGCATTGATACCCTGGCCTGAACTAAATGTTCCAGAAGAAATTGGAGAATGGACCACATCGAGGGAAGATGCTAAGAAAAAGAGTTTTTTCATCAGCTCGATTTTTTCAAGTGGAATACCCAAGGCAGCATTGGAATCATTGAGAAATCCTTACTCCAAATATAATACAGGTGTTTATACCAATCACGATATCAGAATGTTGACACCTCCAACCATCCCATTAACTGAAACTAAGAAAAAATACCTCGAAGAGAGAGAAATGCTTAGGGCCAGAGAGAAATACGAGATCTCTCAAAAGACTAAGGACTACATCAGCAAGAGAGTTAGTGATTACATAAAAGAGCAAAAAGAGTTTGAGGCTAAAGAAAAGGAGAAGAATTGAAAGTGAAAACAACAGTACCAGTGTTGATAGAAATTGATTAATTTTTTATAGTGATATCTTGTATATACGTTATTACTGTTTTTATTTTTATTATTATTATTATTATTATTATTATTACTAATATTACGATTACTATTATTACTGTTGTTTTGAAATATGTAATTAAAGTGTAGATTCATTTTGTCAATCAAAAGCACTAGATTTAATTTTCTGTTTAGGTGTTTTTTCAAAAACAGAACAAAAAATACGTATTATTAATGCTAGATTGTATATAGCGCTTTCTATCACAATTCAGTAGCTTGAAAGATTCAAATGCCGGTCTCTAAACAAATTTAATGGGTATAAAGTGCAAATCTTAAATGTTATTGTTATTTAATACTCATTCTATTTATTTGGTCCAGGATATTTCAAAAGCTTTCTCGGCATTTTAGCGGTCTTCAACCGGCTTTCAACGGCTTTCAACGATTTATCACATAACCTCTCAATTCTTTACTGGTGGACAAGGAAATTTCCTCAAGCAAGTTTTGAACATGTTTGGAACATGTTTGGAACTTCAGTCAAGTGATATGTAAAAAAATTTGTGAAATTGAATTTGATAGCTTTAGTTTAAAATTTTCAGCCAAATGACTTTATAATTAAATTACAGATATTGGCAATAGATATTTACAATGCTGATCTTGTTGACAAATGTACTGAAAACAAAATACAATCTTTCAAAGTTGCAGAAAGAGCAAAAGCGGCAGCTCAAATATTTGCTAATGGAAATGGGCTATTTTCAAAAAGATATATATGAAAAAGATATAGAACAGAATGAAAATAGAGAGATAGATTAAATAGATGCTGATGGAGACGTAGGATAGATTGGATGGAGACTATAATTTATATCAAATGAAGAAAGTAACAGAAACAAGCATTGAAAAAGAGAATAGAAATAATCAAGCGTTACCCGATTCTTAAGGATTACTAAGATCCCCCAATGATTGATTGCACTCCCCTTTAGTATCACAACATTTTTTCCTGTGCATGAAGAGAGTATTTTTCTTGTCCTCAAATCCAACTGGAGTGGGCACTTTTTCTCGTCCACCGCTAGTAGTAGTTGTAGCTATTATGCAGATAGTGGTTGTGATGATGCATGCAGCATTGTGAACGCATACGCATGCATTTCAACAATCATAACCCGGGAGCTCCTTTTGCTTCAGAGTTGTCTCTTTGTGTATTCCAATATTGTTGTATTGAAAACAAGAAAACAAAAATACAATCCACTGTTTATTCCAGAGGTCTGTATTTGGAATATGTTCAAGTTGAATTGCAAATTGAAAGAAGTTAAACAACACCCTTGTCAACTATTGTATCAAAATGACCTATTGCTTACAAAGCATTTTTGTTGTAGCTGATTTTTGCGATTCTAAAATTGATGCTATTAAATAAAACAGTTCAGAATGGTTTGGCACATTTACGCTTCTCTGTTAATCCAGTTATTGGGTCAATCATAGTTTGCCAATCTATGGGATACAACAAATTGTTGCTTCCATCAGAGGCTCTTGCAAGCACCACCCCTAAATCGTTTCTTGTAGTTGATAAATAGTAATTGGACCCATCACCTAGTGACAATACCAATGCCCTCACGATATCACCAGGCATAAAACAGTCGTTTATCTGCACTTTATCCTTATCCATATCTCTGACATCTTGTGATCTGATTACGCCTTTGAAATTTTCACCCAAATTCAAACTTGAAGAGCTGACTGAAGCTGAAGATGCAGTGGCTAGAATCGAAGTCAATGCGCCCGAACCACCTCCAGGAGATATTTCACCATACCCATTGCTCGCTATACCAGAATCTTTTAAAACTGTCTGCTGAAACTGATTTCCTCGTTCAACTACTAATATCTCGCAAAATGCCTGTCTTATTGATATTTTTGAAATCTTCACTAGAACAATGTCGCCCTCATGTGGCAAGTTGCTGGAAAATAAATTGAGTTTTTCACTCAACACTTCATTGCTTATTATTGGTTTATCATCATCGTCTTTATCATTATTGCTGTTATCCTGGTCAATATCCATTGAATCTTTGTCGTTTTTACACATTACTCGAGGAATTCTGTTAAAGACGTTATTTTTGGGCAAAACAGATATTAGATACTTCTTGATCTGAAAGTCCACATTTTGAGTCTTGCTGGCACCAGCGTTGTTTTTATCGTATTTATTTTCGTCATTTGCTGATGGGTCGTCAACGTTATCAGCAAGTGGTTGCAATCTGACCTTCCCCAATATTGTCGAGGCTATTATTGGGCTCCTTTCGTTATTCCCAATCGAAATCGAGTCGTACTTGGTGCCTGGACCAGAAATGAACTTTCTCACAGTCCTCGACTCAAATGCTTCATAAGTAGGACAGAGAGCTTGGCCAGGCACCACATAACCAGGTATTTGAATTGTCATTGTAGAAATTACAGTACCACACCACAAACAATATACGCTCAAGCACCAAAACCAACAGCAGCAGCAATATTGATCTCAAGTCACCAATGGCTTTTATCTCACTGATCTGAATAAATCCAAGTTAAAAATTGTTTCCATCAAAATTTAGTCTTGGATTTTCGCTTCACGTGCGTGAAATCTCTTCATAATATGATTTGAAATAAAAAAAACTTTAGATTTTTCTCTGTTGATATCAAAATAAAAAATATAAAAGACGATGAAAAGTAGCATTATTTAAGGAAATAAATGATAAATATATTCAAAAGTGTTAGGAGCAACCCACCTTATAGCAAATTAAGAAGTACTGATTTAATAAGAAAAACAATGACTACAACTAGCGATTGCGACAACAATGTTTATAGACCTAGATATTTTGATATTGGTGTCAATTTGACAGATAAAATGTTCAAAGGACGTTACAATGACAGGCATCATCACAGCAGTGATTTGGATGAGGTTATATATCGTGCAAAGCTATTCAATGTCAACAAGATGCTAGTCACTGGGTCTTCATTCAAGGAGAGCAAACACTGTATTGATATCTGCTCTAGATATACAAATTTATACTCAACAGTTGGTGTTCATCCATGTTCTGTCACAGAGTTTGTCCAAGATGGAGTGGATCCAGATAAGCATTTGCAAGAGATTAAAGAACTATGCATGGAGGGTAAAAAAAAGGGGATTGTAAAAGCATTTGGAGAGATAGGATTGGATTATGACAGATTATTTTTCTCATCTAAAGAACTTCAACAAGAGTATTTCAAGAAACAATTGGAGATATCAATTGAGCTAGAATTGCCATTGTTTTTGCATCTGAGAGCATCTACAGATGATTTCATTCAAATAATTAAACCATATCTAAGTAGGATGAAGAAAAATGGAGTGATACATTCATTTACTGGTACAGAAGAAGAATTGAACAAATTTTTAGAATTGGGATTTTATGTTAGTGTTAATGGATGTTCATTTAAAACCGATGAAAATTTAAAAGTTGCCTCGAAGATTCCATTGGACAAATTGTTGATTGAGACAGATGCACCATGGTGTGAAATTAAAAGAACACATCCTAGTTATAAATATTTAACTCAATATCCAAATTTTTATTATCCTAAAGTGAAAATAATAGAAGAAGAGATTAAGAATCTGGCTAACAATAATAATAATAATAATAAAATTAAAACTAAAGGTAGAAATAAAGAACCAAAAATTAATTATCATGAATTTTTGCCATTTCCAAATATCAAAAAGGAACACTACAATAAATTTTTCAATTCAGATAATTTTGACAATAACTCTAATTTTATAGATGAGTTTAAGTTTAAATTACCTCTTATCAAATCGAGAAATGAGCCTGTTTGTATCGGATTTGTTGCAGAAGTTATGAGTAAACTTAAGGATGTTGAGCCTAAGGAATTGATTGAAACTTGTTACTTAAATAGTTGTAAGTTGTTTGAACTAGAGGAAAATGATAATTAAATAGATCAAGATGTATAGGGTTTTCTTACGTTTCAAAGGAATAATAGTTTATTATTATTATTATTATTATTATTATTATTATTATTATTATTATTATTATTATTATACATATTGATAGAAATTTTTTTAAATCGTTCAAATAGTTTATGTTTAAGTTTAACTTTTGAGTGACTAATCAATAGAATAAATCGATAACCAAAGGAACTATGCTTTAAAACATTTTGATATCAGAGAAGTTAATTAAAGAGTTTTTGAAACAAAACCCAACTATTAATCCTATGGTATTATATTATGTTTTGCTCTTTTCGTTCGAAAAAAAATCTTGTTTATTGAATCAAGAGTTATAAATCACGCCCTGTTTTCCCAAATCAAACAATACTATCAAACAACCAAAAAATAATATATTCCAAATGTCCAACAAACTAGTTATGGTTGGTGAAAGTGCATGTGGGAAAACATGTTTGATTCGTCGGTATNTCAAACAACCAAAAAATAATATATTCCAAATGTCCAACAAACTAGTTATGGTTGGTGAAAGTGCATGTGGGAAAACATGTTTGATTCGTCGGTATCTTGAAAATAATTACAATGACAAGGAGGGCACAACAGCAAGTTTTTACAAAAAGGAACATTCCACCACCATAGATGGTATAACTCACAGTTTCGATTTGTGGGATACTGGTGGTCAAGAAGATTACGATAATTTGAGAAAATTATCATATGCAGATGCAAAAGCGTTTTTGGTGTGTTATTCTGTTGATCAGCCCCAAGAACTTGAAAGTGTGCTTCTCAAATGGATGTCTGAAGTCAGGGAGCATTGTCCTAAAACTCCCATTGTATTAGTTGCTTGCAAGACAGATCTAAGAAAGAGCGCACAAAGAAGAAGTGAATTGAGAGCAAATGGATATTCAATGGTAACTACTGCAAAAGGAGATGAATTGGCAAGAAAATTTAAATTGAGAGAGTTTTGTGTAGAGAGGTTTTATGAGACTTCAAGTCTTACTGGCAAAGGTGTTGATCAACTTTTTGAGGAAACATTTAGAATGATTGTAACAAAAGAGAACACAAAGTTCCGTGAGCGCTATGGGTGCTGTTCGATAATTTGATAAATACTTGATTTGTGGGTTTGAATATAACCTCTATGTTGAAACCAGTATTGCGTTTGCATTCTTGCAATCATATTTACAAATTTATTGCAAATATGATTGCAACATTTAGTTTATGGAGCTAAACTAAATAATAGACTGAAATAATTAATATACCAAATTATCCAATAAACAAAGCAATGATGAATAACCATGACGTTTCCATTAGAATTCCCAAATTCTGCCTGTGTGATCCAAAAACTTGGATGTTGCCTCCAGTCACGTGTTGATGCAGCTCAAGAAAGACCTGTTCTATCTGTACCCTCCAACAGACTCAAATCGTCCTGATTTTATCACCATTCTTCATATCAGGACTTAAAAAGTTATTTTAACAGAGAGGCCATCAAAATTGTAAATAACTTTTATTTTCTCAATGGAAAAAAGAGTTTCACCATTATTCAATGCTTTTATTTCACCAGAAACTGCAACCAACATAAAGTGTCTTTTATGAACTTTGAAATACTTTCTTTAACCAGATTTTTGAAATCACCAAAATTCTTGAGGTCAAATCATTATTTCGACATTAGAGGATATTTCAGTCATCCATTCAGTATCTTTTAACAGATCACCACTCAAACAAATATAATCGGCATTTGGCAAATAGAAATTCGTATTTGATTCATTTCCGTTATCCACAAGTTCAATCTTGGTGATTTCATTGTTTGATAGATCAAGATCAATTAAATACAAAAATGTATTTTTTTAGATTTCAAATTTTTTCAACAAGTTGTGTTCCAAATATAACCTTTTTAATTTAGGAAAAAAATTACCACCAAACGATTTAATTCTATTCAGTTCTAAGTTTAATTCTTCCAATTGTAATAAATTTCCAAACTCGTGATTAATCCCATCAATATTATTAAATGACAAATTCAATTCTGTAAGATTGATAAATTTGCCGAAATTTGTTACTTTACGCAATTCATTGCGATGCATTTTTAATGATTTCAAGCTAGGAAAATCAACGGAATTTGAAATCGCAATTGTATGAACCTTATTGTATTTTACATTTAATTTTTCGACATTTCTCAAGTAATTTAAATTAAAAGTTTCTGTTATATCCAAATTTGAAACTAATGACTGCGCTATACTTAAATCCAGAACTAAACATATGGAGGTAATTTCATTTTCAGCCAAATTTAACAAAGTTGAGTAACAGTTATTTTCAATTGTTTTTATCTTATTATAAGATAAATCTAGATCTTTTAACTTTAGCAAATTTGAAAGATTTTCAATTTTACTAAGATTATTCTAACTTAGATACAAGCAGTTTAATTGAGTTAAATGCACCAAATTTTCAATTTTATTGATATAATTTGCAGATAGATTTAATTTTGTTAAATTACTCAAATTTTCTGATAAATTTTCAATTTAATTAATATTATTACCAGATAAATTAAGGGATTTTAAGTTTATTAAAGCTGATAAGTTCTTAATTTTTTGAATATCATTGGAATTTATATCCAATCTGGATAAGCTAATCAATTTGGATAATTTTTCAATTTTTTCAATATCATTAAAATTTAATTTAAGAACTGATAAATTTGGTAGTGCTGATAAATTGTCAATTTTATTTATATTATTGCGAGATAAATCCAAATATCTTAGATTGACTACATTTTCAAATAGATTTGTCATTTCAGATATTTTGTTATGAGATAAGTTTAAGCTTTTCAATTTTTTTAAATCAAACAATGAACTAGTTTTATTCTTTCCATTTTGAAATATATCCAAACCTCCAGAGTATGTCACATTATTCTCCTCATCGCCATTAAAAGGAGTGGTAAAAGGTTCTTTACATACAAATTTAAATCTTATTAATGAATGAGCATTGTTCAGCCAGAGTAATCTAAATATGTTATTTAGAACTCGATCATCAGGTTGTTCATTGTGATTGAAAATATCAAACGAAATTGTCTCTATTTTTTTCCCAAACAGGATAATTTTTTCAAAATATGGATCTTTAATTAATTTATATTCCACACTTAAGAACAACTCATTCAAATGGTTTAGGAATTGAGACTTGAACAAAAAGAAATCGCAGAAACGAATGTATATCTTATATTCAGCACATTGATAATTCCCAAGATAATCGTCCACAGAACTCCTGAAATAAACTGACTGGAATATTATTGACAAAGCAATGTCTTTTATGGCCTCAGAATCATGTAGTGTAAACAACCAAAGTTTGTCAAATGGAAGATAGAACAATATAGTTTCAAAGAAACTAAATGGCAAATCAAATAGATCTTTTCTAGCAACAGAAGATTTTAGCATCATTTAGACAGAGCTTTATTCTCTAGTTATTTTCACAGTCAAAAGATCCAACAACACAAGCGACATTTTCAATATTTATATAGTTCTAGAATTATTTTCAAAACAGTTCTACCAGACGAATAATTTTTACCCATCAATGGCAAATTTTTTGTTTTTTATTTTCAGCACAGAATTTTGCCACCCACTGCTGTGGAACTATATGCAGTGTCACGCATCTCATGGTTGTTTTTTTTTGAAATTTTTTTTTTTTGTTTTGGGATAAGATTGAAATTTTCATGATAAAGATGTTATTTGTAGAGAATAATTCATAATTTCCAATTTATACTTCGTTTATAAAGTGTTGTTAATTTTTTGTATATTATAAATGGTGCTCAAATCAACATCGGCTAATAACGTTTCGGTTTATCAAGTTAGTGGATCAAATGTATCAAGATCATTACCTGACTGGATTGCTAAAAAGCGTAAAAGATCACTTAAAAATGATATTGAGTATCAAAATCGAATAGAATTAATCCAAGATTTTGAATTCAGCGAGGCCTCAAACAAAATCAAGATTACTTCCGATGGTCAATTTGCAATGGTGACAGGAACATATAAACCCCAAATTCATGTTTATGATTTCCAAAATTTATCATTGAAATTTGAAAGACATACTGATTGTGAAAATATCAATTTTATATTATTGTCAAACGATTGGACCAAATCTGTTCACTTACAAAATGACAGGTCAATCCAATTTCATAACAAAGGTGGTATACATTATACAACAAGGATACCCAAGTTTGGAAGAGATTTATGTTATAATGAAATTAATTGCGATTTGTATCTTGCAGCGAGTGGAAACGAATTGTACAGATTGAATTTGGACCAAGGAAGGTTTTTGCAGCCATTTCAGTTGGAGACAGATAAAGGAGCAAACTGTATTGATAGAAATGAGTTGCATGGGTTAATCTCAGTTGGGTTAGAGAATAACAGTGTTGAGTTTTGGGATCCGAGATCTAGAAAAAAGGCATCGACGTTGTATTTACCAGAGGAAAATATTGAGGTGACAGCATTGAAATTTCGAAACGATGGGTTTAATTTTTCAGTTGGAACGTCTAGTGGGATTAGTTATTTATATGATTTAAGAAGTGCAATACCATATAATACAAAGGATCATGGGTATGGATTTGCAATCAAGAAGTTTATATGGTTGAACAAAACCAAGAATAATGAGGATAACGAGAATAATATTGTTGTTACGGATAAGAGAATTGCCAAAATATGGAATAAAGATAGTGGGAAATTGATTGCATCAATGGAACCAAGTACAGATATTAACGACATAGAGTATGTTAAGGATTCCGGAATGTTTTTCATGGCCAATGAAGGAATAGCGATGCATACGTACTATATACCAAATTTGGGGCCAGCACCTAAATGGTGTTCGTTTTTGGATAATGTTACAGAGGAGTTGGAAGAAAAACCTACCGACACAGTTTACTCTAATTATAAGTTTATTACAAGAAAAGAAGTGAAAGATTTGAATTTGACACATTTAATTGGGTCAAAAGTATTGCGGTCGTATATGCATGGATTTTTTATTAACAGTGAGTTATTCGATAAGGTGAATTTGATCAGCCAAAACTCTAGACAAAGCATTCAGGATGTTAAACGTAAGGAGGTTGATAAAAGAATTGATAAGGAAAGAGAATCTAGAATCAAGAGCAGTCTTAGCAATGATATTAACAGTAGACACAAGAACATTAAGGTCAATAAGGAATTGGTTAGCAAGTTGAATGATAAGAAACACGGGAAGAGAGTTATTGAAGATATTGTTGCAGATAATAGATTTAAGGATATGTTTGAAGATCCTGAGTATCAAATCGATGAGGAATCGTTTGAGTATAAGCAATTGAATCCAACAAAGTCGACAAAAGACAGAAGCGAGGTTCAAGACAGACCAAGAGGATTGACAGCAGCAGAGGAATCGGACGAAGAGAGAATGAACTCTAGATATGACGGAGAGTCATCTGATGAAGAAGAAAAGGAGGATGAAAAAGAGGGTGAGAGCAATGAAGAAGATGAAGATATTGAAGACGATGGGGAAGATTCTGAAAGAGAAAGAGAGTTGGAGGAATTGAGAGCAAAAGAAGAAGTAAAATTCCGGAAACAGATGGACAAACTAAGACGCAAAAAAGAGGCCCAAGAGAAGAGCGAGAGATTCATCAAATCGTTGACATCGTCAGCATCGACCAACAAGACACTAAGCAGCTTCATCACTGAAGAGAGCGAGCCAGTGTCGTTGGGAGAAAAATTGAGAAACCACGAACGAATGGAACAGGATAAGAGAAGTGCTAACAACAACATCAAGTACCATCGCCTGGCCAAAGGAGAAGTGGAAATGACATTTATCCCTCAAAGAAGCAAAAAGGGCAATGGCAGAATCAAAAAAGCAGTGGACGAGAAAGCTGGTGGAAGAAGCAAGCAACGATACGAGGGCAGACGAAGTGCTGGTCGAAATCAGTTTCGTGGAATGTAGTGGGAGCCGTAAAAGGCAGTGCTGCATTTCCTACCCATCACATCTCCATTTGCATTTACACTTGCCCATTGCTGTCTGGTTAGTAACGAGCAGAGCTTACACCATAGGCCAGAAAGACCCAAATGCAGCCATTCCAGCAACTCGAGCCAAAGCAGAGCCAGAGCAGAGCCTTTCGCACTGGCCTGGTACAGCTCGTTGCAAGAGCTGCTACCACTCTGGGCCTCTCTTCAATTCTCCAGCATCCACTGCTTTCTTTCTCACTTCTCTCAGCTATTTTTGTCGAGAAGGGAAATCAAAGCAATTTCTGGAAAAAACAGACCCACAACGCTGGTGCAACGCAAATCAGAACCCACCGCAACGGTTCTGCGCTATTTATATGGAAGACACGTGCATATTTGGCACAATATATGCAGAATACGGTGCATAAGCTACACTGTATCTCGATTTCAAACGTACTTAAGTGTGTAATCATGCGTGTATATGTGTGTTAAACATCCGGTTGCAGCGGAATTTCACTGGTTTTGTTTACCTTCAGTTTTTTTATTTATTTACTTTTTGTCTCTTTTTGTTATTACTTATAAAAGTCTGCAATTGGCTTCATCTTTTGTCTCAATTCCACTCTGATAATCTGCGATACTCCTCTGTTGAAAGACCTCGTTCTGTGCTGCTTCTGCTTCTGCTCGTTATTTTTCTATCCCCTGGTTCCAATACCCAGAGATCATCTGTTGTTTCAATTTCCTAGCCTGCGATCGCAAAAGTAAACAATCAATCTTTTTGCTTCCACCATCACATACCCACTCAGAGCCAGAATTATCACACAATAATTAAAGAAACAACACAAGAGCTGTGTGTCTGCTGTGTACTGGTTTTACTCTCCTTTAAATAGCTAAAGTTTAGAGCAAAATGCCTCCTGGACCCTTATTAGAATCCTCGCCTCTAAAGGCAGTTCGAAGGCCATCTTTCATTATTCACAATGACAACGAAATCGAAAATGAGCTTGAAAATGATTTAGAAATTCACCATGAACTTATCAAAAGCCATAAAACAATAAACAATTCACAAAACATTAATAATATCGACGACATCGACGATATCAACAGCATTGACAATATTGCCAATATTAATAATATTAACAATATTGATATTGATAATTCAACTTCTATGGACTTGGACTTTAAAAATGACCTATTGTTTCAATCACTGGCTCAGCAACAATTGAATTTCTTCTCAACTGGCTTGACTCCAATCAACTTAAACACTCATCATAGCTTGAATTATAACGATCTCAATAATTTAAACTTCAATTTATCTAACCTATCCAACTTATCCAGTTTCAATAATAGCAATACCAGTATCAATACCAATAACAATTTAAATTTAAATTTCAATCCAAATCTACTCTTCAACTCTCCTGGCTATAATAAACTACTAAACTCAGTCTCCAAAAAATTCCAAGTTTATCCCGATAATAACGATACAAATAACACCAGTTTAAATTACAACATCAACACAAACTTACAAACTCCTTTTCGAAAATCAAATCTAAGTACAATAACAAACTCAATTACAAATTCAATTTCAAATTCAAATCTAAACTCAAATTTGAATTTCAACAACTCAACCATAAATACAACAAGCAATAATCTAAGTAATTTATCAATTTCAAAATCAAATATCCATATCAACCTTATAAATAATGAAATTGACGATATAAACAATGTAAACAACCTTGAAAACACTTCCAAAAACCAATTCCTATTATCCTCCTCTCCAACAAAATCAACTAAAATTTACAATTTGTCCAAAAACGATATCCAATTTTCAGATTTTATAACAGATACTCCCCAAAGAGATATGTTTAAAACTGAAATTGAAGAACCTGATAATCTTACCAAACTCAACTTGATTGAAAAACTTAATAAAAAAAATACCAATGAAAACACTACTAATAAAGATAAAAATAAAAATAAAAATAATAATGATAATGATAATGATAATGATAATGATAATGATAATGATAATGATAATGATAATGATAACAATGATAATAACAATGACAATGATAAAAATAACAATCTCGAATATCAACATAACCAAAATGATACAAAGCTTTTAACTAATCACATCAATCATAACAATCAAACCAATGAAGACAATCACATCAATAAAAACGATATTATTAAAACAGAAGAAATTCTTTCTAATGATATTTTAGGAAACATTAGTTTTGATAATGAAAATGATTTATTAACTTTCCTTGATATCTTGAATAATCTGAACAACAATATCAATAACAACTTGAATAATTTAAATAATAACAACAACTTCAATGCCAATGCTAACCTCAATTCTAATAATGAATTTGACTTTTCAAATTTCAATATACTAAATAACCAATTCCTACAAAACTCAATCAAGAAATCTTGTAAGAAAAAGAGAAAATTTAATCAACTAAACTCTTCCCCAAGCTCCAATCTAATTAAAAGAAACATTAATCTAAATCTAAACATCAACCCAGTTTCAAATAAAAATAGAATTGATAACTTGTTGAAAAATTTCAATGACATCGATGACCATTTAAATTACGAATTGCCTTCCCCTTTTAATAGTTTAAACAACTCACTTACAAACTTAATCGACCCAAATATCGATGACCAAAACAAATACAATCCAAATTTTAATACAGCTAAAAACACTGATAATACTAATGAGAAAAATATTGATCATCTCAATATTGAAAACGATTCAAATTATCATCATAATAACACCAACGATATCATCAATACAAATAATACCGAAAAAAAAAATAGCATGTCAAATTTACAGAAAATGATTTACAAAACTCCTATTAAACTCTCAACCAATAGATTCTTTTCTAAGCTACACCACAGTAGATATAAAACTCCAGCTGATCAAAAAATTACTGTCATATCATCGCCTTCAACTATTGTCGTGCCAAGTCCATCCATCAATTTATTAAATAAACCAAAGAGCTTTAGTATAAATAATATCAATAGTATAAATGTTAATAAACTAACTGGAAACACAAAAAATAATAAAAACGACGATAACAATAATTGTAATAAAGACATTGGTTCAAATATAAATCACGATAATATGCTAGGTAGTCCAACAAGAAAAAAAACAATCTTAAATTCAAACACACACTTAAAAACTCAGTCATATTCAGAAGGATTTGGTCCCAGAGCTCCAACAATGGGAATATTTGATCAGAAAAAAGGCAGTGGTAAAGATAATGGGTTGCCAGCAATAAGCACATTTAAAAATCATCATCACCCTAAAAACTTTTTCTTGACTAATAAAATCAATAACATTAATATTATTAATAATGTTTTCAATAATCATAACACTAATAATAACAATAACAATAACAATAACAATAACAATAACAATAACAATAACAATAACAATAACAATAACAATAATATTTTTAACAATAATAATGTTAAAAATAATAAAAATAAGAATAGGAATAAAACATCAAACAGTTTACCTACTGGACAAAACAAAAGCAAAAATCACAGACATGGAATGATCCAGTTTATATTTCCAGACGTAAAATCATTAGTCAAAAACTCAAATGATAAAAGTAAAAGAAGAAGAATGAATGAAGCTAACTTGGCAAATGGAAAAAGGAAATTGGGAAGATCTTTATCAGTAGTTGATGCATCCAAAACTAATATCAGAAACAATTCAAGTAATAAAAAAGACAATAATAGAGTATTTGTCAAAAAAGAAATTGAAGAAGACAAGAATATAATAATTGACCAAAAAAATGAGAAAAGTAACTTGCAAAGATGCAATTCAGCCCCAAATTACCATACTACCAAAAATAAACCATTATAGATTTTTTTTTGTTTTGAACAACTATTATATCTTAATGCCAATAGAAGATCATTAATTTTTTCATCATTGATTTATTTAAATTTATATTTTGTTTTAATTATTTTATTTTGTTTTATTTAACGGTTTTTTTAAAATTTTTTTTATTTTAATATTTTGATACCAGGATTTTCTAATGCTTTTATTTGTTTTATTTTATACTATCTTGATTTATATTATTTTCAATTGCCTTTAATACCTTTTGCAGTTTTCATTTATTTAATTTCTTTTATTTCTTGTATTTTTTTTTGAATTTACTATTTCTTTATTTATTTTTTTATACTATTTTTATTTTCTCCGGTTTTTCTTTTTTTATGAACTTATTAGATACTATTTTTCAAATTTGAAGTTGGCAGTCAGTGGCCTTATCTATACTATGATATACTACCCCAGAGCATCAGATCTCAGAACAACAATATATCTCTTTCTCTCCCCATATTCCCTATACCATTTTGCAGAGCACCTCTGATTGGACAATAATAAACAAATCTTCCCAAAGAGAAAAACAGCGCCCAAACCAGAATGGCGGATCAATCTCCTTTTCCGAATTAAGCCCCGTTTATTTACCGAACCTAAGGCAATAAAGCGTCAAAAAAGCTTAGCATCGCGATAAAGGGCGTGAAAAGGTACTGTAGTGTGGGTCACAATGTCTGCATGTTGCATGTGTCTGCGCAACATCGCACCAAAAACGCCGGTCCGTTGTTCGGTTGCGAAGCCCGGCTTCGTCTGAGGCCGGTGCACGCACCTGCAAAAAGTGAAACCCGTGGGAAGTCTAGACCCATTTTCCGCCAATGGACCGCTATTTTTAGGTGGAATTCCCCTTCTAGATTGATATTTGAGGTCTATTTGGATATTTTGTTAATAACTGTCCATTTCCTTGAATCTGTGAAATTTGAGTCTTGTTGAAGAAAAAAAAAGAAAGAGAACAATTGTTTCAAACTTTTGCGCTTGAATTGTTTGGCCCTACCAAAACTATTATCTTCTTACAACGTTCGCTGACTTGCAACTGCCAAAGGATCAGCTTAGCTGGGTTTTCTTATAAATACCAAGATAGAACTCTTATATTTTTCAATTTAGGTTTTCTTTTCATGAAGGAGTTAAGTAAAAAGGACTCAAGTTTCCTACTTTCTGATATAAATGAAAGAAAAGCAAATCCAAAAATGTTCTTCACATCTAAAAAATTCAAGTACATTTTTCTATCAATAGGATTGCTTTACTTGTTTATATTTTTAATTCGATCAAACAATATAGATTCGCCAGCTATAATATCGGTTCCAAAAAATGATATAGACAAAAACTTATATCCTGATTCTGACTCTATTTTATCGACTTCTCTTTTGGCCTCATCCTCTTCTTTATCCCCATATTCTTCTTCAATTGATCAGATAGTCAATGACGATTCAATCATGAACCCTGATCCCAAAAAAGTGGACTTGAAAAGATTCGAGCTCTTAGCAAATAAGAATTATAATAGCAAGATTAATAGTGTTCAGTCACTACGATCCCAGCTATCCTCTAAATTTCCTTATAATTATTCGCTCAATAAATACCAAAAAATGCCCAAATTTATTTGGCAAACGTGGAAAACTGATCCCTCTAATAGAAGATTTCCCAAGACCTTTAGGAAGTTTTCAAACTCTTGGAAAAATATAAATGAAGACTTTATTCATAAAATTTTACCAGACAAAATGGCAATAGAGCTAATTAAAAATCTATATTACCAAATCCCTGAGGTTTTAATCTCCTATAAACTACTACCCTCAAATATTCTTAAAGCTGATTTCTTTAGATACTTGATTTTATTTGCAAACGGTGGAACTTACACTGATATTGACACTGTGGACTTAAAACCAATTAATACCTGGCTCTCCTATAATGAAACCATTTTTGGCGACCTAAATGATATTGGTTTTGTTGTTGGCATCGAGGCTGATCCTGACAGACCTGACTGGAAAGATTGGTATGCAAGAAGAATCCAATTTTGCCAATGGACTATTCAGTCAAAGAGAGGTCATCCTATATTAAGAGAACTAGTATCAAAAATTTCTCATATTACTTTAAACAAATACAAGAAAAATGATTTAAAATTAAAGAAAACCTCAGAAAAGGGCTCTCAGATTATGAACTGGACTGGTCCTGGAATCTTCACTGATACCATTTTCGAATATTTGAATAACGTTATAATAAATAACCCAGATATCAAAATCATAAATTATAACCCTAAATATGTCATAAAACAAAATGAATATGACGATTCAACTGATGCTAATCTCGATATTGATAAAATGAAAGCAGGTAATTATAGAAAGATCAATAAAAGTGCAAAGACTCCTCTAACCTGGGAATTCTTCACTGGCATGGAAATTCCTATCATAATTGATGATGTCCTCATTTTACCAATATCAAGTTTTAGTCCTGGCGTTGGTCAAATGGGCTCTCACAAAGAAACTCATCCTTTGGCATATGCTAAACATATGTTTGAAGGTTCTTGGAAGGACGAGGACGATCGTAAAATAGGAAAATCTTGAGTTATTTTATAAATAGTATATTTAATGAATTTTTATCTTCCATTTATAATCATCATCATAGTCATCATCATAATCATAGTCATAGTCATAATCACAAAAAAAAAGTATCAAAAACTAAAAGTTTTAATAGGTATAAGATGTGTTTTATTGGTTGTTCTATTTTATTTTATTTCTATTTTTTATTATTCAATTTCTTTTAAATTTTTTTTCTTTGTATGTGTTAAAATATTTTTTTATAATCAATTTTTTTGTTATATTTTCATTTCTTTAGGTATTCCAGTTTGTGATTGTCTTGTTACAAGATTAAATATATACTTTTTTTTTCTTTTTTTCTTTTTAACTATTCAATTGAATTTACATAAAAAATATGTTTTGTGTAGTTTTATACTTATATTTATAAAATTATCTATTGCAATATATTGTATTATTTGTCAAGAATAAGATTATGTTGAAAACAAAAATATAAACCAAAACAAAAATGAGAACTAAAACAAAAGTGAAAAGATAACAAACAAAACAAACAGAAAGTTAAAAAAAATGAAACACAATAACAAATCAAAACTAAAGCTTGTGAAAAACCAAACCAAAAAAACCAAAAAAAACAAAAACAGAGGAAGATAGAGGTATGAAACACCATGGAACAGAATGAAACGTATGAAACGTATGAAAAGTATGAAAAGTATAAAAAATAATAAAAAAAATATGTGAAACAAAATAAAACAAAATAAAAAAAATATCAATTAATAATTAGATATTAGCATTTCCTATTAAAAACAGTAAAAATGTAAAATAAAAAATACAGTTTAAATTAACCAAAAACATTAAAAAAATTAAAACTAAACATAAACAAAATTTTAATAAATTGGAGATATAATTTTTTACAAAACCCAGCAAGAAAATAGGTCAAAGCATGAACTTATTTCAACTTTTTTTTCTTTGAAATTTGCTTTGATAAATTTTAATAAAAAATAACAATCGTCACTATCATAAATATCAAGTTTTAATCTTCTAATATCTTTGTAGGATATCTTTCTAGGGTCTTTACTTTTAGTGAAAAGTTTTGAAGAGCTTAATATATTTAAATAATTGAATATTAATTCATATTTCTGAAGTAATAGTGGAATTAGGTTTTCATCAATTGATCTTTCAGATGAATTATTTTTTATATTATCGCTTTCATCTTCATTGACAGTATCATTTTCGTTGCTATAAATTGTATCCAAATTTCGATCTGTAAAGGATAGACTTGATAAAGTAAAATTTGATTTATTTGCAAAAGAATCAGAAGTGGATAAAAATGAATAATTTAAAAGATTAGTTTGGCTTGTTGTGTTCAAGCCATCATAGTTAAGATGAGTATTTTCAGGACTATTATTATTATTATTATTATTATTATTATTAATAGTAGTAGTAGTAGTAGTAGTACTGATGTTGTTATTATGATTGCTATAAATATCGATATTTTTGAATGGTATTAATTGTTTGAAAAGTCTTTCTAAATGCTGCAAGATTGAAAGATGGTTTGTTGAAAGATTCCATGATTTGAGTGGATAATTATTATTCAAATAAATAAAGTCATCTAAATCAACATTTGAAGCTTTGATTTTTCTAAGAATATTAGCATTTGAAACTTTATGATTATTATAATAATTAATTATGGGGTAAATATAATAATTCTTTTGAAAGACTACTTTAAATTCAATAACAATGTCAATATTATATTTTTTATAATTTTCAAAAATTATATCGTCAGAGGAAGATGCAATGAAATTTTTCTTCAAGGAGAATTTTTTCAACCATGATAAATCATGAAGAGAAATGTTGTATAAGGAAGTGGTTTTGTGTTTTTTGATAAATCTATTGCTATTTGCATCTTGATCAAAAATAGGGTAGATTTTGCTTAGTAAGATTGAGATAAGGGTGATTAGTTTTGAATTATTTTCAACTTGTGGGATTGAATTGGAGTTAATACTTAAGTTTGAATTTAGGGATAAGTCGGAATTTAACGATAGCAAATTTGAAATGTTATTTTTGATCAAGATGTTTTTACCCAAGATCGAATACCTTAGTATTTTTAGTAGAGATGGGCCAAACATTTGTAAAAGGTACTCAACCTCATTGTGGGTTAGCCCGGATAAACTGGAGAGACTATTGAGATTGATATTCGTGGCATTGTTTTTATGGGTGGATTTATTGTGTTTATTGCTGTTGATGTTGCTATCAACGTCAATAATATTTGTAGTGATGATGCTGTTATTGTTTTTCAAATCGTTGATCAAATTGATTTTAAAGACAGCGTAGTCGTCAAATTGGCTGTTATTGATATAAGCAGATAAATGGGTATTTAAAAGCTCAGAGTAATTCCAGCCATGGTCATGATTATCAGAGGAGATGGTTTTTTCATCTAGTAGTAGACCTAGAGAAAACATTTTGATTTCGTCTCTTAAACGATTGGCTCTATTAGTATTGTTGATTTTGAAACCATTTTGTTGGAAATTGGTGATGGAGTCATAGAACTTTGCGCTTTTGGAGTCGTAATGTTTGAACTTGAAGAAACAGTTTGAATAGTCGTGGAGGCCACTGGGCAAGGACTTGAATTCTATGTTGGATAGGTCGATGGGGTTGTGGTGGTTGAACTGATAGGACCACTTTAGCTCGTATCCAATCTTAACATCGAACTCCACCAAAAAGACAGCCCTGACAGACGAGAGAGATGAAGAAGCCATTGTGCCGTAGTGTTGCAGATTTCAATGGGGGCAGAGAGAACAGGAGAAAAGAAACACAGCAGCTAAACAGCGAGTATTTATAGAACAGAGACAGTTGAGCAACAGTTTGATCTAAGCTTGAGCAAGATTCAGAAACAGCTGAAAATATCTAGCAATCACCAGAAAAGACCAAAATGTTTGTTTTATTCAGCTGCATCGCCAAATCCAGACCGGCCGAAAGTTACAATCAGGTGACATGAACGGATCTGATAACCAATGTCACATGACTATCTTGACGCGACGTGACTATCATGTGTGTTGATCAGGTGATGGTTTGGGGTTCTGGACTTTTCATGCCACGTGCGTGGTTCTGAATTGTGAGTGGTTTTTTCTGTGAAATTTTTCATGGATTTTGCAACAGCATAGGAAGAAGCAGTGTTTGGAGGAAAAAAGACGACAGCAGAAGATGTCCTTAGTTAACGACTGTATTGTTATTGATGCTGACTTTGAGGGCTCTGTGAAGGAATACGCCTCTATTGTTGACCAGATCAACAGAAACAAAAAATTTTCTCAAAAGATATCCACTTTGTTGAAGAACGACAATGCCTTGCCAAAGAGCTTTTACAATGAATTGATTGAATCGGGTTTATTATTAAAGGATTTGAGTGATAGGCAGTTTGAGCCCACATTGAACTTGTTATTTTATATATTCAGTGAGAGTTTGAAAGATAGTGAAGAAGTTTTCAACTATTTTTTGAAAAAATTGTTAGACATCTTAGTCCAAGTTTGCCCTCAAACAAACTTGATTAAGAGCAATGGGTTAAAATTTACAAATATTTTATCAACATTAACCAATTTTTTTAATTTTATCAATAAATCAAGCACATTAAGATTTGAAATTTTAAAGAAAATTTTACAAATTTTTGAAAAATTCAATCAAAAAGAAAAACACGAAATTTTATACTTGATTGTACCTTTAGCAGATTCCAACGCCTACTTGAATTATCTTAATGATTCCAAAACTAGTATTGATGATATCTTAAAATTCTCTTATCAATTATCAAAACTATTATACTCCGCTAGCTCCAGCTCATTTAACTCAATCTCATTTAATTTATTAAAGGACTCTTTATTGAAAAACATAATTTATATCAACTCCAATTCAGATAACGAAATAAATCAACATATTGATTTTCTATTAGAAGTCTCTTTATTTGATGAAAACCAAATTGATTTATCGTACCTTGGTAAATTTACTTATATCACCAACCACTCAGTTAAACGTTTAAACCAAAACATTGCTTTACTCAACTCATACAATGCAGACTCATTAAATGATTTTAAAACACTTTTGTCAAAATCACCTAAAAACACCAATAATGATATATTATTATACAAAAAACAACTATTAACTTTAATTCAATTGGCTTTATACTCACCCTCCAAGACATTATCATTCAAACAAATTTCCAATAGTTTGAACTTAAACTTTGCAAACACAGATGATTTGATTAAAATTCAGTTAATTTTAATTGACTCAATTAAGAAGAACTTGCTCTTTGGTAAAATCGATCAATTAAATGAATCCTTTACTGTTTACAAAATCAATTGCATATCCACAGGAAACCCCAGCAATAACTTGGACAAAAAAGACTGGATCCATATCCTACACAGTCTCAACAACTGGAAAAGTTCCATCAGGGAAGTTAAGGAAATCGTTGAAACCTCGCAACTGAAAAAGAGTAACTTGACCTCTAATAATTCCAAACAGTCTGTTGCAATTTAGTTTTATATTTTATGTATGTCTTATTATATAATTTCAATTTCATACTTTGTTTTTTTTCATGTTCAACTGTGCTAAAATATTTTTGTTACACAAACGAAACTTGCTAAATTTTGCATTTTTATCATAAAATGTCAAAAAAAGACTCCTCATCAGGGGCTCGAACCCTGGACATTTCGGTTCCTTGCGAAACTAGAAGAATCCCTAAAAGCCGAACGCTCTACCGACTGAGCTAATGGGGATGAGACTTAGTTAAAGTTCTTTTGTAAAATATTTAAGCTTAGCTATTAGTTGTCTTGATAATTTTACTGTTTTATAAACAATATTAATAGTTAAACTGGAACAGGAACAGTTTTTGTAGTTTTATATACCGACTAATAAACAACACTGTGCAAGAGCCCCCAAAGGTGTGTTCCTAGCAGTTATTTTTTTTAAAAAAAAAAAAAGTTAAACTGGAAGTTTGAAATACAAATAAACCTTTATTGAATTAAATTGTCTTTATATATCCTTCTGGCTATCATTTATATGCTTTCTCTAACAAACTCAATGCACCAACATATCTCTGGTTGATTGAATTGTTTTTTCCTTTCTTATTTTCTTCACTGTACATCAACCTTATCATCACTTTATTTTCATTTATGTTGAATAAATTCTTATTTTCTTTGATTTCTTGTATCAAATTATTTTGTCCCTTCCTAAATAGACTATAATAACCAATTGAATAACTGAAATCCACATCCTCTGCTTTATGAAGTATGTTTCTCAATACTTGTTGAATAGCCATTATATTTAAATTCAATTTCTTAATACCGTTCAAATTTATCTTGCTTATTATCGATCCATTTAATATTGCAAGTCGATCGATGAAATCTGGTAATCCAACCAATATCCCATCTCGGTCTTTACAACCTAAAACATTTATCAACTTGTTATTATAATCAACAATAATTTCATTTAACAATTCAATATCTTTCACGACTTCAATCATATCAGATTCCGGTGTCCAATAATCATTTCTAAAAGCTAAATTGAGTTGATACATGGTTCTTAATCTCATATCATATCTTAGTCCTAATAGTGTATTCCTGGATAATATTTTGAAATCTTCAATTATTTTATCAAATAAACCTGCTGATTCTCCTTCTTCCAATGTGAGATATAATTCTTCATATTTCTCTGAAATTCTAGTGTCACCGCCTTCTAAGATCAACCATTTATTTCTCAATTCCACTAGATCATCTTCGTTATTTTTCTCATTTCTTTTCTTTTCAATTTCTTCTTTACTAATAACTTTTCTTATTTTCAGTAACCACATTAATATCCATGATATACTACCTAACATTTGTGATAATAAATTAAAAGACTTCTTTGGTAACAATTGGGATTTTGATATATTTTCAAAAATGAGATTGGGTTTATCTAATAATATATCAATTTCAGCAGCTATCATGCTTTTATCGACATCATTTTTAAGAATTTGTAGTGAGATGTGTGATAGTTGAGGAAACTTCATCCATTGCGTTGTCATTTTAATTTTTTTGTCAGTGGTAAATTCTTCTTTAGTTATTAATTCATCATATAATCTCTGATATTTGTTTAAAAATTTGTTTAGAATTAACAAAATGATTTGGCCATATTCATTTCGATATTCCAAATTTGTGTTTAAAATTCTGCAAATTCTAGTAAATAGATGATAAAAATCGTCAGCACTTTTAAATATTTTACTATTACTGATGCCATTAAATTTAATATCGTTATCCAAATCGTTTTGATTCATATTACTATCATTGTTATCTAAATGAGATTTGAAGGTGTTCTCTTCATAGGATGAAGTGATTAATTCATATGAATCAATTTCAACAGTATTTTCATACATATATTCAAACGAGTCATCTAATTGAGGTAAAAACGTTTTTAACATGAATTCTTTGAAGAATTCTATTGGGTCGTTTGATTCGTTTTTCAATTCGAGAGGAAAGGTGTTTTTAGCGCCTTGAATAAAGACTAAAAAGGATTCTAGTATTACTCTCATGTTGAAAACATTTGAAGGGACAAGTGTTTCCTGTAGTGAGTATGATTCATCTTCCAAGTATAGAGGTTTGTCTTGGATTTTTTCATTTGACATGACAAAACCCGGAAAGATTTCTTGTAAAACAGATTTCAATTCTTCCGATTCCTTGATTATGATTGAGTCATTTAGTTTTGAGTCGTTTAGATGGAATAGGGTTGTGTTATTATTTTTTCTTTCAGTTAACAAATTCAGGTTATTTTGGAAGGGTTGTTTTGATGCTGAGTGGCTAGGGTTTTTCAAGTGGCTGTTTGAAAAGACGACTGAGTCGTCGGTGATGTAGGAATAGATCAATGATCTTGATTCGTTTTCCATGTTTTTCCAAATATCGATGAAATCGTAATTTAGTAGAGAGGCAGTTGAGTTTGAGGTTAAAATATGTTTTGATATTTCGTAGACAACTCTATGACTCTGAAGGACTAGTAGGAATTTCGTGAAAACGTTCCAAAAGTAGTCTTGTAGCACAATGACACCTAGATCGCCGATTCCCAAGCCAAAGTCTACTTGGTTGAAGTCCAATTTATTAAAGCTTGCAGTTTCTTTAAGATTTTTGGGATGTTTTAGTCTGATTTCTTCAGCCGAGTGATTGACTAGTTTGTGTAATTCAAATGGGTTTCTTTGGGTCAAAGTTTCCAAAGCTTTGGGAAGTTTATCCAATTTGGCTAGTGTTTCTAGTAGCGATTTGATGTAATTGTAAGGGTCCATTTGCTGGTCCTTTTTGTAGGAATAGGAAGGAGATAGGTGGTTTAATTTGGAAGATTTTTCCCATTCTTTTAGAAATATTTCTAGGTTTGAGTGGATATTTGAGGATCTTTCCGAGATGTCAATGTTTATGATGTTGTGAATGTATTGTTCTAAAGTTGAAAAGCCATTGTTTGTTGATAACAAGAACTGGTTATTTGAGGAGGAAGAGGAAGAGTAGCTGGCGGATTTGAGGTAAATTGTGGCATACAACTCTTCCATTATTGTGTCAAATAGGCTGATTCTTTGGGATTCGAGATAGGATTTGATACCAGCTAGAGCTTCGATATTCCATAGATTGTATGAGTTTGCCTGTTGTTCAGCGTAGGATAGTAGGTTTTCTACTTTTGAGAAGTTCTTTTCCACAAAGTAGTTTTCTAGTTGTTCAGGAATGTTTTTCAATATCTCAATGACGTCCAAGATCTCTATCATGTTTGCATATTTCTGGGAGTTGAGATTGAGATCGTTGAGGTAGTCCTTTTTGTCAGTGATTTCAGCAGTGGACTGCTTCAAGTTTTCCTTTATTGCCTTGACAGTTTCCTGGGAGTCGTTGATGTATTCGAGGACAGTAGAGTAGGAGCCAACTGAGCTGTTGAAGGCCTGGAAGTGTTCGTCGACAGCATTTTGCAAGGAGAGGCCAATTTTGGCGTACAAGCTGGTGAAAAGTGGGTATTTGGAGGCAAGACCAACAGAGGTGGTGTCCAACAAGGGAAGGGCCAACTCCAAAGGATTAGAGTCTTCCTGGGTAGCAGCAGACCAGTCTCTTTCGACCTCGTTGTAGACCAGCTGCAAATTGGCCAACGACTGCTGCATTTTGTTCTTCTCCAAGTCAGAGTACTGGCTGGTGGACAAGGTCCTGGCCTTGGGTGTTTTGGGGACAGACAACATGGGTGGATATGAAGCAGAGCAGTAGCAGCAGCAGCAGTAGCAGCAGCAGCAGCAGCAGAAACAGCAGAAGTAGTAGCAGCAGCAGCAGCAGTAGCCCAATGGTTAACAACAGCAGCTCAATGATCAATGCCTCTCAGTGCTACGTGTAAATCCGCTCTAGCGCCTCCGGCAGCACAAAGCCTGCTCTTCCCCTACTTGGTGCTTGGTGCTTCCTCTGCTTCCTCTGCTTCCTCTGCTGCCTCCTCAACGCTTCCATGGGTGCTGCTGAATCAAAGCTCAGCTTCAAGACCAGGGTCTTCCATCTTGCCTCAGCAGATGAGATTGCCTCCGATGACCCCTACTGGCAGATGTTCTGGACGACTCCTGAGTCTGTGGACGACATCTTCAACTTGCTCACTGTCGACGACATCAATTTCATCTGCACCAAGAACACCACAAACTTCCTCAGGTTGATCAGAATCGTCAGCTACAAGTTCCTCAGCTTGTCCAGCAAGAAGCAGTTTCCTCATCCCTCCCTTGCCCCAACCTCCCACCTTCTCAACTGCACCAGACTACTCACCAGATTGCTTCCCTTTCTCTTTGAGAACCCAGACTTCAACGACTACGAGACTCTTTTGTTCTGGTCCAAGGGTGTCAAGTTTGACAAAGATCCAAACCTTTCCCTGGCCTCTGCTGAAGCAACTGTTGGTACTTTGTCCCCAAATCCCAATGTTTCTCCTACAAATATACCAAAATCATCGCTTTTGTTCTCCCACATCCAGGCCCTGCCTCAATCACCACTATCACCACCATCATCTCAGCAGGAATCAACACACTCCTCTACTTCTTTAAATGTGAACATCGACAGCCCAGTATTCGAGTTTCCCTTGGGTGCTCAATTGGTATTTGCTTGCGTCAGACTACTATTCACAAGACACTTTACTATATCGCCTCCCGACAACACTGTCAACAGAAACCTAAAGGGTGTTGATTTCACTATATGGGAACCTGGCATTGGCAATGCCAACTCAAAATACTCAGATCCCTCAACTGAAATCGACGCAAACAGACTCGACGTGCTACGATTACTACTCACTCTATGCTCCCAATGTCTCTACATCTCTCCGGTTAACTTGGTCTCAAAGGGCTCAAGATTCCTAACTGTCTTGGTCACTTCAACCCCAAAATTACAGCTCCTAACTCTACTTTGCTCTTTAATCAACTTGATCTGCAGAAGCTGCAAACTAAAGGACAGCAACAACACAAATGGCCTACACTACCAAAGCTCTCCCTTGCTAGAACTCAGGCACTCAATGGTAACCTACTCCTTTGAACTATTCACTCTTATGCTAGTATATCCAATTCCAAAGGACACTCTTTTCCTAAAACAATTGGGAATCTACGACCCCTCCTACAACCCCAAATCTCACAACATTGTTCGCTTTTTCCTAAGCAAACTACACAAAAAAAATGAATTGATCTTCCTAATAACTCATCTACTAACCTTCTTAAAACAGCCCATGCTAATCACAAGAGATAACGAACTATCTGCCTTCGCAATCATAAAAAGAACGACAAACTCAAATATATCCGATCCTCCAATTTGGTCTACTGAAATACTAATGATAATTTGGGAACTATTCCAATGCAACAAAAATTTCAGACAATGTTTGGTCACTCTTAAAAACTTTTCAAATGAACTAATCATAACCCTTCTATACTATATAATAACCTTTCAAAACTCAGAATCACACAAAAATATCGTTCGATTAACAAGCTATCTAGTACTCTATCTCTCTTCAAATAAAGACGTCTGTCTTAACTTACTAAATCCGATCACCATGCTGTTTTATAATCAATTGCCTTCCTCTTTTAAACCAAGTCCAAATCCCATAACTTATAGAGACTTGATCGTCATTAAAATTTCTAAACTATTAATCAATGAACCAGAATTATCAAGAAATATCCTAATGCCAACATATATCGAATGGTTATATAATTTAATTCCCATTGCAATTCCAATGCGATATACTCCTCCCAATGATACTACTACTAATAATAATGAAATTAATAATGAAAATGAAAATAATAATGAGAATAATGATCTAATTATTAGCTCTATTAATAAAGCATCGATTAATCCAGGAGGCGGATTATCAGATAATGCCGCAACATCAATAACTCAAGTCATAATAAAACTCTCACAAACTAGATTTCTACTGGCCTCCTCAATGAATCCAGATTTATTGGCTTTGATCGTTAGAGCAATTTGTAATGCTATTTGCAGATATCCAAAACAATCAAGAACTCTAATCTTCATCATTGTCAAAAATGCTAGAATCTATAACAGCATTTATTTGCAAATCAAGAATACTGCAACCAAAAAACAAGAATCAAGTGAAAGCATTAGCCAGATATTGAAAATGGGACTACCGAGAACAGGCAGCAATTTGTCAGTCAATACTAATAACAGCCTTGCTAATAACAACAATACCAACGATCACAATTCAATACATTCACTTTCAGATAGTAATAGTCTTAAGACAAATAGTAGGAATTCCAGCGTTATCAGTCTTGATAGTATAGTGAACAATGATTACAATGATGATAATAATAACAACAACAACAACAATAGCACCGACCATTTGGAGAGCATCGAAGAATTTAAACCCTTGAATGAAATTAAAAAAGAAGAAGAAGAAATAGATTCTGCTTTAAGACCTGCACCTCCAAGCGGAATGTCTGCAAAAGCAAAGGGAAAGTTGCCAGCAGATGCCCCATTATATAGAACATGGTCTGGATTGGCTTCATTGAAAATCATACTAAAATTCATAGAATTGATTCGAAAAAATATAAACAATTTTGACGATTATAAAGTTGGAGAATCAATCGCATTGCTTAAATCTATTGAAATAATACCAGATATAGAAGAAAAAATATCAAAAATCGCCAGTGCAGAGTACTTACCTGCAACAAATTTACCTCAGCTAAAGTTTTTATGGTCAAATGTTTCTCTAGGCTGGTATGAAAGTATACTTTGGGGACAAATCTATAGAATTGATTTTAATTTATCAATAAAGCTAAACAACAAAGATATCTCTGAGACTATTTCAAATACGTTTTCGGGATTTGGGTTTGGTGGGTTTGGTAAAAATAACAACACAAACTTGGATGCAGATGAGAATAAGAATAAGAATAGAAATAGAAATAGAGCCAATGCGAATGGAAACAATAGAAACAGTTTTGGAGATGGAATTTGGTCACTAGCCAAGTGGACTACAACAAACCCAGATGCAGAAAATATTGAAATAGCAAAGAAAACACTCACGAATATCAACGTCTACAATGGAACAAATATCAAGTTGTTTAGATTAAAATCAAAAGCAAAAGACTTTCCAACACTATTGCAGCCAAGGGGGGCGGTTGACGCTGTAGCCGACACATTTTTGAAGAAAATAACAGACTTTAGACTTGGAAACAATGAGTTGACAAGAACCAATTCGCTGCCGGCGTTCAACACCCAAAACAACACGACCAACGACAATGGAAACAACAGCAACAGAAACTCGGTGCAGCTCAACTCCAACGTGAGACACGCTTCATTAACGATCAACAACAACAGAACAACAAGTAACCTATTTCGAGCTCCAAAGTAAGAGCGCAACACCTTCTCCATAGCTATTAGCAGTGCAATAAAAGACGTTTAGTAAAAAAATTTTGTAGTAGACTTCGATGGAAAAACTTAAAGATGCATGCCTGCATAGATTTGCAAAACATGCATCATGTAATGCTGCGTTTATTATGCAATATTGCATAGTTATACAGTTTTGTTCATGAGACCATTTTTGTGGATCGAGAACTTTTGATTTTTTTTGGTGAGCTTCAACAGGATTTGAAATCGTTTGTGGAAGAATTTCAAATTGCTGCGAAATTAGCTGAGGGCACTGGATTGTTGTGCCAATTCAAATTGGATATGAAATATATTAATGAGAACGATGGCAATAATTTTGCTGCTGATCGTCGCACGAGGTCTGTCACAAATAACAATTATATTTCCAAGGTGTATGACGCGTCAAGCAGACTTCAGGATTTTTTAGATAAAAATAAAGATAACTTATCTGCAATTAATTCTGAGTGCTTAAATGTTGATAATGTGTGGACGGATTCTGAGGATGAAGAAATGATATATAATCGGTGCATACAGGCCTTTTCTAAGAGGAAGATTAACCAACCGATAAATTACGACGAATCTCATTCGTGGGAATATTTTAATTTAAAGATTAATGAGTTTGTTGGGTCAGAAAAGGGCATTGATGCTAAGAAAACTCCGGAAAAGCCAAAAACTAAAGAAAAACTGAAGGACAAGTCTAAATCAAAGTTTCCTGCTATTGCTCCCACTGCTGCTACGGTCGATGGCAGTAATGGCAAAAGCATTATCAATAGGGATAGCAATAGGGAAAAACGCGATTCTAATAAATTTAAATTAAGATCATCAAATCGAACTCCAAAGTCCAAGAAATCAATCTCGAATAGAAACATTAAGGAGGTGTTGGAAGATTTCAGAGCTATTGAGAGAAATAAAAGAAAAGCTGCAAAGGAGAGACGTGAAAGAGCCTCAAAGAGAAGAAGTCTCTTAGAAGGTAATTCATCATCAAGTGCCATTGAGCCAACAAACTCAACTGCATTAGTGAAAATCTCAGATTCTGATAGTTCTAAAAATTCTGATGAATCAATAGCAAGAAACCCCTCAAACATATCAAGAAACCAAAATTCAAAATATTCATCAGGCGAGAAATCAAAACGGCTTCGCAATAACATAGAAACCGCTAGATTAAAAAGAATTAAAAAGGTAAATATAAAACTCAATAATATAAAAAGAAATATAAAAAAAGGACATACTCTTTATAAGATAGATAAATCCGAAAATATAAAAAGCGAAAATCACAAAACAGAAACAAATAACAAATCAAATTTGAACTTCACAAAACCTGAAATTAAAGCTTATAAGACTCTTGATGAATACAATGAATACATCAAGTCTCTTGAATTTCAATTACAACTCCAAAAAAGTAATAGAAAGCAATTGGAAAACGAATCAGGCAGAAAATTGAAAAAATTTAAACTAGATCTTGAAGTTCTAGAGAATGATTTAGAAACAAGCACAAATCTAAAATTACTCAATTTAAAAAGAAAATTAAGTGACATTGACTTTGAATTGAAAATTGAAAAAATCAAATCATCTTAGAATTAGATTGGGCAAGCATAGTCAAATTTAAGTTATTATTCACCATTATTCACCAGCATTAATCATTTATCATTTACTTTTTCAATTTATTTTTACTCACTTTTAATTGTTTATCAGTTTTTTATTTATTTATCTATTATAGTTTTTGTTTTCATAAACCGTTATTATTTTTATTATTTTTATTATTTTTATCATTTTATTTTTGTTTTTTTTCATTTGTGGATGTACTTGCGGCGAAATTAGCAAAGTTATTTAGATTTATTAAATCGAATTTTTTTTACTACTTACATTTATTTTTTGGTCTACTCATATACTTATACATTTACTTTATTTTATTTCTTGATTTTAATGAAAGTGAGTTGAAACTGCATGTTCATATCCATTTTCAGCAACATAAAAAACCAAATACTTGTTATGAAAATCGCAGTTGGAAAACAAGCAATGTTGGAGGTCAATAATAGTTGCAGTGATTGTCTAAGAAAGTCATGTTCTGATGCTGTTTAGATCCCCAAACCTATTGAGACCCACCACTCTTCAAGCCAGTAGTGGCAATGATAGAAACGATAGTTGACGATGGTCGACCAAGTGTGGAAGGTCAGGTCTTACACTTTAAGTCGTTTGAGAAAATATCTGCTCACCAGCAGGAGGTTTTGCTGCTTTCATTGAAACCAAGGCACTTATATCTCCGTCGTCATCCCATCATTTAACACCAGATCAGATAGTTAACGAATGAAAATACGCAAAAAGAAGGATGGTTTATGAAAGTCTCAAACCTCACCTGTAGGTAAAATAACGACATATTATGCTGGACTGCCCTTTGGAGAACCTAATTTGGTTGGCTTTTTATTGAAGCTGTTGAAACAGATCTTTGAAATGAGAATAAAGTTATGGATTCGCAAGTTGGTAATTTGGCAATTTGAGCAAAGATCATTGGGCAGTCCAGCAGAGGTTTAGTGCAAAATAATGAAAAAGATAAGAGAATGTGGGAAATTTTTCAGTTCAATTTTGCTAGCAAAGTAATTATTATTTAGCAAGAAAAGAGAAAATAATTTTTTTTTCTCTTGTTTTATTGTTAATTGAATTTAGTCTAGTTGTTTTTCGTTTTTGTCCAGAAAATATACTTTTAAATGGTGATCTGAGATAGGATATCGTTATTGGTTTTCCTTATCCTTATCAGCGAACCATAGGTAGCAAACACTATACACTAGAATGTCATTTTTTTAGTGTACACTAGGGCTAGGAAACTACAATTATTGCTAAGTGCTTGTAAATGAGTTGGATGTACTAATTGATAGAATATTTATTAACAGACACACGAATGAAACTTGAAGATGAAAATGAGAAAAATAAAATAAGATAATAAGATAAAATAAAAATAAAAATAAACATAGATAAAGATAAGAAAAAATTATACTATAAGCAAGGAACAAAAAGAAAGTGTAAGAACTTTGAAAACAACAAAAAAAACTTGGATGTTGTAAATAATTTAAAAAAACTAATGACGATTATTGATTATTGTAATTGTGATTGTGATTATGAGAATTAGCTAGTTAAACTTATAACAAGTTGAAGAATTTTGGAGCAATTTTTGCTGGGAGAGAAGGTGAATCAACAGAGGCAACTTTTGGACCAGCAGCAATAACTTCAGGAGTACAGCCAGCAGAGTAGATTTTGAAGTTTTCGTTGAATAAACCAGCCAAGGAGTTCAATTCAGACACATAATCACTGGAGTTGGCAGTAAATTTTGATGGGTTCAACAATTCTTTTGGAACAGCACCACAGCTCTTTGGAACTTGCAAGCCAAAGACTGGATAAGTTTCGTATTCAGCATTGGCTAAGGAACCATCGTGAATAGCATCCAAGATGGCTCTGGTGTGTTTCAATGGACATCTCTTACCACCTTTGGAGATAGATGCACCAACCCAACCGGTGTTTAGTAACCAGGCATTAGTTTTGTGTTCTTTCATTTTTTCAGACAACATCTTAGCGTATTTCATTGGGTGCAAAGCTAAGAAAGGTTGACCAAAGCAAGAGGAGAAAGTGGCTTCAGGCTCAGTAACACCTTGTTCAGTACCAGCCATTTTTGAGGTGTAACCAGAGATGAAGTGGTACATAACTTGCTCGTTGGTCAATTTGGAGATGGGAGGCAAACAACCTCTGGCATCACAGGTCAAGAGAACAATGTTCTTTGGGTGTTCAGGAGCTAAACAAGGAATCTTAGCACCTGGAATGAATTCAATTGGGTAAGCACATCTAGTGTTTTGAGTGATAACGTCGTTTTCGTAATCAACAACTCTAGATTCTGAGTCGTAAACAACGTTTTCCAAGATGGAACCAAATCTAATGGCATCGAAGATTTCGGGTTCTTTTTCACCACTTAAACCGAGACATTTGGCGTAACAACCACCTTCGATGTTGAAGACACCATCGTTGGACCAGCAGTGTTCGTCATCACCGATCAACAATCTGTGTGGGTCAGCAGATAAAGTGGTTTTACCGGTACCAGATAAACCAAAGAATAAAGTGACATCTTTGTTCTTGATACCTTGGTTGGCAGAGGAGTGGAGAGTCAAAACATCGTATTTGATTGGCATCAAGTAGAACATGACAGTAAAGATACCCTTTTTCATTTCACCGGCATATTCAGTACCCAAGATGACCATTTCCATAGTTTTGAAGTTGATTTCAACTGAGGTGGAGGAGGTCATACCATCGGTATAAGAGTTGGCAGGGAATTGGCCAGCGTTGTAGACAACGAAGTCAGGTTCAAAGTCCTTCAATTCTTCTTCAGTTGGTCTGATCAACATATTTCTCATGAATAAAGCATGGTAAGCTCTGGCGCAAACAATTCTGACTTTTAATCTGTATTTTGGATCCCAACCTGCGTAGGCATCGACAACAAATAATTTTTCTCTTGTTCTCAAGTAATCAACAGCTCTTGATTTAGAAATGTTCCAGGTTCTTTCAGAAACTTTTTTATTGACAGGACCCCACCAGACATTGTCAGTAGAGGTTTCTTCATCGACAATTCTTTTGTCCTTTGGAGATCTACCGGTTTTGTCACCAGAGTAGGCCATCAAGGCACCAGAGGAAGAGATGACAGTTCCTTTTTCTTTCAAACCATCTTCATACAAGACAGGAACAGCAGCATTACGACGGATTATGGTGTCGGATTGTAATCCTAACGATTTTGTGAATTTTTCAGTAAAAGACATTTTGTGTGATTGCAATTAGAAAATATAAGAATATGGAGATATTGGACTATTAGAATATAAGAATATAGGAATATGGAATATATGAGGGAGAAAAAAGAAGTGTGAGAAATATAGGGAATATAAAAATATAGAGATATTTGTTATAATTGGGAGATAGATAAAAAAAGATCAAGAGATCAAAAGATAAAGAAAATTGTATTGTTTTATAGCAAAATTGAGTAGATAATTTTTTTTTTTTAAAGTGCTCGAGATAAAATTGTTTTTTCAGGAGAGTAGCAGTGAAATGGCCAGAATTAGAGTTGGAAGAGTTTTTCGATTGATAAAAAAGAAAAGACTCCAAAACTCAAAACGAAAAAAATCTGGGGAAGCGAGAAAAGTTTTATGGAGCGGTGATTGGCCGACGCATCTCTGCATCTTTCAGCGTATATACCGCAGAGCACAGCGTGTCACGTCCGATATGGCTGCGCACGGCTGGACCGGGCCCTCTGAGTTGCACACTGGACGTGGCGTTCTTTGGAGGGTGCTGTTCGCCAGTGCGCGCAGGCTACTCAGCGAGATCGGGATTGACACACGCAGGTTTAGTTCCGAGAAGCTGGCACGCGTGCCGAACCGACTCTCTCCAGCATCGCGGATGCAGCCGTGCGCACACTCCTATAGTGGTCCCTGCAGGCAGACGTGCCCGGGTCCCGGAAACTCAACAACGGCGGCTGCAGCGCGGCCCAAAGCGGTATTTTTTGTGGGGAAGACACTTCCAGCCCGATAGGACAACTTCGGAATTCACCAGCGCCGGCCGCTGATTTGATGAGCAAAACCGCCGGTGCTGGAGACCGTGTGCGTGGATGTGCTTCCGCATTGGGCCTGCTCCACAGCGTATCCACAGTGGTGGCCGTGTTTGCACGACGGTGGTTCGAACCGCTCCCAAAGCAACTTTTGTGTTTGCTCTGGAAGAGTTGGTCGAAAACCAATATAATTTCCTGTATTGTTATTATCTGCTGTTTTATCAAGTTGATCTGGAACTGGTTTAAACAGGCAAAACATTTCAGTCTCCAAAATAAATATTTGTGTCTGAAGTCTATTTACCGTTATTATATTAGTAGTCATTCTTGTCACCCATCTGAATAAGCTGTTTCTCTTGTATTTTTTTTTCAATTCACATCTATTTACATTCACGTTCACGTTCAGCTCTTATTCACATAGCAATCAATATGTCTTTCTTGAAGAATTTCCCTCTCAACACAAATTTACAATTGTTCCGACGACAAACCATCCTCAAAAGAAATTCTCTTATTGATTCTTTCACTACTCCTGTACATAAACCTGTTATTAATGTGCTTCTACGAAATCTTTCAGCTTATTCAAATACAAGTCTCAAAGCACAGTCTACACTACACTCCAAATTAAATTTCAAATCAAATGGAAACATATCTCAAGATCTAAACAAAAATCCCGTTATTCATAACCACCCAATACTTAAAAGAGTTCCCAAGTCTTTACTTCCGTATTCGATTAAATTCATTAACGCTCCAATCTCCTATATCACCTCTTTTCTTATACTCCACGAACTAACTGCATTGGTTCCCTTGATATCTTTCTGGTATCTATTCAGTAACCTTGACTATTTCGTAATCACTTCATCCATCAGTTCCACCACAAACAACCAAATATTGCAGCTATTTCAATTGCTACCTTCTTCCTTCATTGATAACTGCACGTTGTTCATTAACAAACTATCCGAATCCAAATACGTTGCAAATCTAAACCTCATCAATAAATCTAAATTCATTATCGACGGTATCAACGCCTATATCATCGTCAAGCTTCTAGTGCCCTTTAGATGTGCTTTGTCCTTGTATCTAACTCCCTACTTGGCCTCTCTAATCAAGTTGCCCTCGACTCTTTTCAAGAACTACTTTCTTATCCAACCAAAAAAGATCTGACCCACCTCGCTATATACACTTTTCTCTGTCTATTTTACTCGTCCTCACGAGCTTTTTGGCTCGATTTACGCCCACTAAAAAAATATTCCAAGACCCACAGCAGTGGTCGCAAAGTGCCTTCCGTTTTGGGAAGCCACACCGCTCCTCTGGCCTTGCCTGCGTTTGCCGAAACGTGCCCGGCTCTGAGCGGGCTTTGTCGGACTTCTGTTTCTGGCGTGGTGATTTTTCTGCTTGTGACGAATTTGGTGGGTGGTTTTTTGTTTGATCTGTTTTTGCTTTGTTTTCTTCTTCTTATATTTTTATCTTTATTTTTGCTTTTACTTTTGTATCTCTATTCTTCTCTACAATAGTTTCATAGTTGGCCTGTTGGCTTATCATCTTTCTTTTTCTGGCTGTTTTTATGTATTCAAATTCTTCTGTTGGTGGTTTTACATCAAACAAAAACTCTAATACCTCTACTAACAATAATCACAATAACAACAGTATCAGTAACAACACAAACAACACTAACAACACAAACAACACGAACAAAACTAACAACACTAACAAAACTAACGATAACAATGATAGCAAAAACGATATAAACTTATTAAGTAATTTCAACAATTTTGTCAACTTCACCAATTTTTCCCACAATAGCCTGAATAACCCGCTAAATGATGATAATAACACTAATAACACTAATAACACTAATAACAATAACAATAGTTTATCAAATTTAAATAATCCAAATAACTCAAACAGTATAAATAACATAACTCCGATGAATAATCAATCCAATAATGCTAATTTCTTACAACTACAACAGCAATTATCCAGATTTAAACAGCCACAACAACAAAACTCTCTTCAAAATAATATACAGCTACAAAACATAATACCAAATGATAATAATCTAATCAATATAAACAACATAAACATAAACAATATAAAGTCCTTATCAACCTCTAATTCAATCCAAAATTTGCAAAATTTATCCAATATCCCAAATATACAAAGTTTATCAAACTTGCAAAATCTACAAAATTTACAGAATTTACAGAATTTACAAAACCTACAAAATTTATCCAATATTCAAAACATTTCCAATATTCAAAACATTCAAAATATATCCACTATACAAAATATTCAAAATATTCAAAATATTCCAAACATCTCAAACATCTCAAATAACAATGATTCAAATAAAATTATACCCAATAAAAAAATTATAATTAACCAATCTGATACTATTAAATTAAACTCTTCTATTATCAATAAAAATGCAAACAAAAGTACTTTAAATTTAACCAATACAAAAAATAATCTTATTAATAACAATAACAATAATAATTCAAACTATGCAAATCATTCAAATCATTTAAATCATTCAATACCCGCCAAAAGAACCATCACCGACATTAAAAAGAGCTCGACAAGAAATCAACCAACTATAATGGCTTCAAATAGTATTCTAACTTTAGGCTCATATAAAAACAGAAAATTGATCTCCAAAAAAACAATTTTAGATACTTATAAGATATTAGGTTATATAGCATCTGGAACATATGGTAAAGTTTATAAAGCAGAATATAGAAGTGGTTCTTTTAATAATAATAAAACCACTACAATAAATTCCAATGCCAATTCCAATGCCAATTCTAATACTAACCACAAAAATAATCATGACCTTAAAAAGCTATTGTTTGCTATTAAAAAATTTAAGGGTGATAGTAGAGATGGTGAGATTTTACATTACACAGGTTTGTCACAATCTGCTTGTAGAGAAATTGCCTTATCAAAAGAATTAAAACATGAAAATATAATTCAACTAGTTGAAATTGTTTTGGAAAAAAAAAGTATTTATATTGTCTTTGAATTCGCTGAACATGATCTATTACAAATTATTCACTTCCACTCTCAAAATGGTTTAAAACCAATTCCAGAATTTTCTTTTAAATCTATTATGTGGCAAATTCTTAATGGTGTATCTTATTTACACCAAAATTGGATTTTTCATAGAGATTTAAAACCCGCTAATATTATGGTAACCTATGATGGTATAATTAAAATTGGTGATTTAGGTCTAGCCAGAAAATTCGATAACCCTTTACAAAATTTCTATACTGGTGATAAAGTTGTTGTGACCATTTGGTATAGAGCTCCTGAATTGCTACTAGGTGGTAGACATTATACGCCTGCAATTGATTTATGGGCAGTGGGTTGTATACTAGCAGAACTATTAGCCTTGAGACCGATTTTTAAAGGCGAAGAAGCTAAAATTGAAAATAGAAGAACAATTCCTTTTCAAACTAATCAAATGTTCAAAATCATTGAGATTTTAGGAAAGCCAACAGTGAAAAATTGGCCAACATTAGATAAATATCCCGAGTACCAACATCTACAAAATTTTAAGGCTTATTCAAATAAATTATTGACTTGGTTTCACAATATTGGACAATCAAATAGTAACTTATTTTCACTTCTACAAACATTGTTGGAATATGATCCAGCAGAAAGAATCGCTGCATATGACGCATTAGTTCACCAATATTTTTTGGAGCCACCTTATGTATCCACAAATGCTTTTGATGGATTGCCTTTCAAGTATCCAAGACGTAAAATAACTACAGACACAACGGATTTGCTTCAGTTGCAAAATAAAAATTACAAGAGAAATCCCAATGACCTTGATGCTATTAGTTCAAGAAAAAGACAAAAAGTTTAAACAATATCAAGCATTTAAAATTTAAAGAATAAACAAGCTTTGATTAAAGTCAAGTGGATTTAATTCATTTCATTATACTTGAATAATATTAGCTGCCTTTTATTTTATTTAGATGATATTAAATAATAAAAGTTGCCATCAATTTGAATCAATATAAATACTTCAAAAAAGAAAAATATTACAATAACTGTTGTAGTAATTTGAGATGAAATTATGACAACTAGCAAAACATTGCTGATATAATTTAAGTGCTATTATAATTTAATTTTATTTATATCCGTGTACTTTAACACGTTTGCTGAACTCAGTATGTTTACAGATATCTGGTTCCTATCAAAGATTTTGAAATTTCCAATTTGATTTCTTTCTGATTAAATTTCAATCAGATTTTTCGATAAAATTCTCAAGTTTTTCCAAATTGTCTAATTTGTTATAATTCAAAACGGAACTTTTGATCTTAAAAAAAAATAATTTCTGCATTAGATCTTAAGAGTTATCTAAAGAAGCAATTTTTTTGGTTTGTTCAATAATAAAGATAAAATGGTTAGATTTTAAAACAATTATTTATTAATTTTAATTAACGGATTATTTCTCGAACAGTGCCCTCTTGATTTCTCAAGTTTATTAGATCTATTCTTTATAAATTAAATTTATTTTATTATAGATTCAAATTCATCTATTATGCCGCTGTGATTAAACCTAAAATTTTATTTTTTGAGATCAATAAACTTATTAACTTTATTAAAGTTACTTATTTCATCTATTTTATTGTTCCCAATTACAATTTTTTTGGCAGGGAAAAGCCATCATTATTATCTTTAATAAACTCAGTCATTTTATCATAATCCATATCTAGCTGTCCTAGACTTTTCAAATTTTTGCTTTGAAGAAAACTTTTGTTAGAACAGTAAATTAATTATTGCAAATTTAAACAGAGATTCAAATTATTAAATGTATTTTTTAATCAATCAATCTTGCAAATTAAGATTAATCAAATCACAAAATTTATCAAAAGTATGAGATTAAGTAGTTTCATTATTATTATTCAAAACTTGAACAAACTTGATTAAAATTGATATAATTTCAATTTGTTAAATTAATGGAATCTGGCATGCTTTCAATTTTCTGAATCTTTTTATGGTTTGAGTACGATTATCTTCAATTTTTTGAACCCAGAAAGTGTTAAATTCTGACATTTATATTGCATATTAGATATAAAGTGGTCAAATAACTTAAATTTAATTTGCTATTAGTTCTGCTGATTTTATCACATATTAAATTTAATAATCAAAACTCTGAAACAATCAATAAATTTGATATTTTTCGAATCCGGTTTCTGTTTCGATTTGGATGTTTCAAATATGTTTAGCTAGAAATGTACTTTACTTTAACAGTTATATTATTTTTGCACCCAGAAATTAAATAGTGTTGATAAAGTAATATCCTGAATGGATTCATTATCTTGTAACACGAATAACGAAAGTTTTTTAGAGAAATATAAAATGTTAAGTCATATATGTTTTTTGTATAACTGCTTTTCAGTCTTAAGATTCGAACTGATAACTTGTTATCGCTGCTTTTATTAAAATTAAGATTAAGATTAGTATTGTTATTATTGTTCTATCACTGCTTCAAGTCTATAGTAAAGTTTTGAAACTAGTGTTTTGAGAATTTCTTGGACAATAATTTTACTCAAATAAATTCAAAAAGATTGCAAAGCATGTAAAATTAAACTAATTTTAAGTTCTGTCTTTCTAGAACGCCTGTGATTGGAGGAACTCTCAAAGCATACCACTGCGACTTCATGCAGATTTGCAGTATTTTTCATAACCAGCAGCACGGATGCAAAAACTGCATTTTTCAGGTATTTTTTTAATTTGTGATTTTCTGTGGTAAGACAATAACTGAAAAAATACAGTTTTTATTGTCCTATTTTTTGGCAACAAATATCATGTTTATTTGATTTTATTGATAATTTTAAAGCTCGGGTTTTGGTGGTATGAATTTATTTTTCAAATATCAACTCTTTAGCTTATTTTTAGTTCTACTCAAAAGTATTTAACAACGCTTTTGGTTTACTATGATTTTAGGCCATGCTATAAAATTATTGAAAATTTTATATATTTGATAATAGATTTTTCAGATTCTTTTCTTCAAAAATTTTTGGACTCAATTAATTTTGTTTTCACCAATATTCAATACTGCCAAAGATATTAGCGTATTGTTGTGCCATTACAAACCTTATAGCTTTATTTCCTTTAGAATATAAAATTTTTCGCTTATAACATTATATTTTGCTTTTACTTTATTTTAATTTTAGAAATTGTGGCACTTATCTTTGGTAAAATCTTTCAACTAAACACTTCAAACTTAAATATTTGAATACTATATCATATTAAGTGATATTATTTGACATCTAAATTTTGTTTTACTATGAATAATCTCTTTTTTTTATTTAACTATATTTGATGTGGATGAAAGTTTTTCAACGTTATCATCCAAGTGTAAACTTGAGATCGATTTTTTCAAATCAGGTAAATTGTTCTACTATTCAAACTATTGACCCCATCATTTAATGAATCTACTTGAAATTTACTATTTATTTTATTAAAAACATAATTTCCGTTGTTCCTATCTATTAGAAAAGCCAGGTGAACAATTACAGGTATGATGGTGGAGTTTTATGTCAAAAATCAATAGAAATCTCAAATTATTTAATAGTAATGATTCAACCACAACTTTGGCAGTGGCAACTTTTGAACTTGGTTTAAAAGTTGAAGGAAATTAGTTTTCGTTTGTCATTTAATAATAAAATTTGTTGAAAACATTTAAGTATGATTTTTTTTGCGATATTGCTTGTGATAGAATTTCTAAATGGTCACTATTCTTGGAGCTTTGACCAGTTTCATTAGATGGAAGGGCTTTGCCATAAACAACTGGGTATGTGAAAAGGTGTTTTTTTCTGCTGTTTTTAGCAAATTTCAACTCAGATTAATAAAACTAGTGTGTGAGACAAGAAATATGTAAATGAAAAGATTTGCCCTTTTAATAAATTTTAGGTTTTAGCACTTTTCGGTATACCATAGAAAAAAGATGTAAAAATCGGTAAAAAATCGTGAAATAATCAAAAAAATTGCTAGCGATTGATAATTTTATTTAACACTACAATAAATTTCAGGAGATATCAAAAACTAATGGAATGTTTTTAGACTACCCTTTTTTTGGCTGGTATTTTACTGATTTTCTAGACTTGCTACCTTGATGCTTCAATAAAATGAACACTTCTGCAACATGAGTTGGTTAGAAGAAATTCAATTTCAAAATAAAATAGCAATTTAAATATAAACTGTGGATTTTGAAAATTATCATTAACATCTATAGGGTGTAACTTGGTATATAATTTGTTTTTCATATAGATTGTGCTTCCTGTAAAACTTATATGAAATAAATGTAAATAAATTATGTTTCCAATTTCAAATTGGTTATTGTTTGTATATGATTTGAATTATTTTTCAGTTTTTCTATCTCAAGTAACTCTAAATAGATAATTTTGTAGAAATTCCGTTTAATCTAGTTGGGATGAGCAGATATATAAATCGTTCTTATTTCCCAATTTTATGTGTTATTTTTTTTAAAACTCTTTATTACTTTAATTAAGTTGTCATTCGTAATCTTAAATACCCCTTCCATTCGTTAATTTCTAAAAAACATCTAAATCATATTCAGTTCTTCAAATTCTAGTTAAAAATGTTTAAACTAGGATTAGTTTCTCTTTTAACAATTACTTCATATGTATCTGCTATTCCGGTTGCAAACCCATTACCAGTTGCTATTCCAAATGCTTTAGCAAATCCAGCAGCTTCTTATGCTTGCCATGCTTATTGTGGTAACTTAATTATTGCTGCTAGGGCTTGTGCTGAGGATGGTTCCTCCGATACTGGTCCATATATCGAAAATTGTTTGTGTCCCTCTGACAGTGTCTCTAATTTTAAAGCTCTTATCGACAGTTGTTTAGAGTGTGGTTGGTGTTTATGGAGTAATTATGGCAGTTTCTTAACTGCTCCATTAGCTGCTTGTGGTAATGTTCCAACTCAACCAACTGGTACTGAATGTTTTACAGCAGAATCTTCTCCAGCCGAATCATCACCAGCAGAATCTTCTCCAGCTGAATCTTCTCCAGCTGAATCATCACCAGCTGTGTCATCTCCAGCCGAATCATCACCAGCAGAATCATCACCAGTTGAATCATCACCAGCTGAATCTTCTCCAGCTGTGTCATCACCAGC